GATTCGAACCCCTACCAGCTGAGTTGCCCTGGTAGCTCAGTTGGTAGAGCTCTCGCCTAGACTGCAGAGTGTCATGGGTTCGAATCCCACCCAGGGCAGCTCTTCTTCTTTTTGAAAAAAAGCTGTCCTGGGTGTATAGTTGACTTGTTTGCCTTGCCTTTCTACCTCGTTACCAAGTTGTTGAGACATGCATTGCAACTGCACCATTTGTTATGATAATCCGCAAAACACTTGTGTGAGCTGACCAGCTTTGTTTTTATTATTCTTTTTTATGTGTGTGTATCAGGAGCAGGCAACACACTACAAAGATTGCTGACTCCAAAGGCTGCATCAAATGCTGCATCGGTAATACTACACACTGTATCAAGTGGCATTGCTATAGAGTGTTGTACTGGGTTGTACTTATACTGGAGGTGGCAGATGATGATGTCAGTATAGGGACATCAGAGGCACTCTGTTCTGTGATTGAGAAAATACTGAGGTTCTGATGCTGCCTCGCGAAACATTTACATTCTGAAATAGCCAACATGTCCATAGTGTTAGCTAGACCCCATGTTCTTTTTCTAGTTGCCTCTCTCTGTCTGTCTGTCTGTCTGCCTGCCTGTCTGTCTGTCTGCCTGCCTGCCTGCCTGTCTGTCTGTCTGTCTGTCTGTCTGTCTGTCTGCCTGCCTGCCTGTCTGTCTGTTCCTCTTTAGTCCATGGTTCCACTATGTTCCTCATGCAGTTACATACATCTCCCTCTCTCCTGTAGCCCGGAATCCGTTCACAGATCAGAGATACCTGATAGCAGTAGTTCCCAGAGGAATTCTACTGCTGCAGTGGTTCCAGCCAAGGCACGCCTTCATGCACGTCATGGTACGCACCATTCTATCCATCTTCCCTATAATAATTATAGCTTCACTCTTAACACTTAACCAGCCAATGGCACATGTGTATTAATGTGTCCAGAGCCTCCATAAGTCCATAAGAATTTATAATACTAGCTTCCTATAATAATCTTTACTCTTTACTTAAAACAGCTGAACCTTGAGCAGCTTGGGACTAAAGTGTGCCAAGTGTTGCAACTCTGAAATGCTTAAACTTTCACGTTCACTGTGCCTGTAGTCAATCCGCTGCCTATAATTATGTATACAAGGCCTTGATTTCGGGGATCCCCGAACACGGCGTCGAGCTGCACATTTTGCTGCTGGCATACAGGAGCTCCCCGGTTACCTGAACTGTTACCATAGAACTTTGGAGTGTAGTCCTCTGCTGTTGCTTGGTGTAGTAGTGAACTTAAAAAAGTTGAGTGTTAAGCTTGCTTTTTTTTTGTTTTGTAATGGACATATATTATACATGATGCAGTGTGTAACATCAGAACTGTAGGTGAAGCAGCTATATATATACTGTGTATATACATCAGTTCTCTGAGTGTTTGTCTCCTCCTGTGTCCACTGCAGTTGTTTGAGTGTCAGACTCCTCTGCCACTCAACCTCCTGGAGGCCTATGTGGTGGAGAATGAGGAGTACCCTATCGTTGTCCTCGGAGTGAAGGAGAGGTCTGTTCCATGTCTCACGTTACCCTACTGCAATGTATATACACCTTACTGTTTCACACTTAGACTGAATGGTAACCTTTTTGCCTTTTATGTACATAGTATAAGTAATGAAGCCCTCATCAGTATTACTTGTACGTAATAATGATTGCACTTTTTCACTAAGTGCTTTAACAGTGTGTTTTTGTTAATGTTTTGTTGTCTTTCCAAAGGGAAAGCTTTTTATGATGTCTCCTACCTTACATCTCCCTCCATTCTTCCTTCCTCTCTTTGACCTTTCACCTTTCCCCAGCCCTGAAGGGACAACTCTATTTGACACCCTCAACCTCAACTCCCAGGCCAGCTGGTACGCAGACCAACCTGATGGGAAGTCACTGCACGTCCTCTGTCTACAGCAGCTAGAGAAAGACACCATCTTCATTGGCCTGGAACGTATCCCTCCTCCCCTCTCTAGTTTACTTGTTAGCTACTTACACCATCTTGTGTGTTGTGTTGTTTTACTTGGACCAGCTTTTGTGTTGTTGGTCGCCTGATGTTCTCTTCGAGGACTTGGTACTGGCTCTTCAGCGAGCAGCAGACTGGAACATGTTGTTGTTTAGCTTTTGTGGTGTTGTTTACTTGGACCAGCTTGTGTGTTGTTGTTTACTTATACTACAGCTTGTGTGTTGTTGTTTACTTGAACCAGCTTGTGTGTTGTTGTTTACTTGAACCAGCTTGTGTGTTGTTGTTTACTTATACTACAGCTTGTGTGTTGTTGTTTACTTATACTACAGCTTGTGTGTTGTTGTTTACTTGAACCAGCTTGTGTGTTGTTGTTTACTTATACTACAGCTTGTGTGTTGTTGTTTACTTGAACCAGCTTGTGTGTTGTTGTTTACTTATACTACAGCTTGTGTGTTGTTGTTTACTTGAACCAGCTTGTGTGTTGTTGTTTACTTATACTACAGCTTGTGTGTTGTTGTTTACTTATACTACAGCTTGTGTGTTGTTGTTTACTTATACTACAGCTTGTGTTGTTGTTGTTTACTTGGATCTGCTGTGGTTGTTTATTTTACGTACTTTGAGCTGTGTGAGTAGACATCAGTGCAAGTGGATGAGTATTACACACAAAGATCAGAGATGTCAACAGATGTAACAACAAATACACACTATGTATGACATTGATAGTGATGTCATAGTGATGTCATAGCTAATAGTAGAGATGGTTTCTCCTTGACCAAGTATCAGGTGCTGCAAAGTTTGTGGGCCGGAATGGACAGCTGAAACCAAGCACCATTCAGGCCTCTCACATTACATTCGACAAGACTTCAGAACACATGGGTAAGACCCTGAGCTAATTAGGATGTACATACATACTCTTGGCAAATGTATGTGATTAGTGTAAGTCTCGAAATTTAGAGTGTCTTGGGTTTTTAGTCCAACTCTTTTCTCCTCAGGAAAAACAACTGGGCTGGGTATTCCTGGGGTATTTTTGAAAATGTTGTCCTGCTCTGCTCTTGCCTTGCGATGCATGCAACTCTCACAGTCGTCTGTAGTAAACAAGTCTACCTATAGGTCTGTGGTCTAAGCTTGTGCACCATAAGCAATCCGTGTCTTCCAGCGAGGAGTGAGATTGGTGAATAGTGGCACCTCCGTGAAATTCTAAAGCAGCAACTAGTCAAAAGTGTATGTAATGCCGTGTGATGCGTTCCTCGGTTGCAGTGTTTCTATCAAACTGTGTGCTGAGTTTCCACAGACACGGGATGCAGGGAAATCACGCCACCCAACAAGTAGTGGCCACACTCTCTCCTCTCTCTTGCCACTGCAACCGTTACTTTATCTTCTCTTAGGTGACGCGAAGTAGCAGATGGCTCAAAGTGTTCCATTTGCTCTGGGCTCTTACGGGTATGACAGATTAACTGCTGCAGATTGTAAACCTCCTAGCCTCATGGGTTGCACACGTGAAGCTTGGCCTAAGTCGGTAGTCTGCAAGGCACCTTGAGGTTTAAGTTGGGAGCAGCAGGAAAAGTGGAAGAACGTTGTTGATTCACTATTTTGTAAAGAAGGATCATCATTTAACACTTTTTGAGTCTCGAAATGTGCTGGTCAGCATTTTCCCTTTGTTCTTAGCTCGTAACCCATGGTTTTCTCACGGCATTGGGTAACCAACAACATTTTTCGTGACTCCAAACTTAGTCTAAATGAAGTATATAACAAGGGGATCATCAGCAGCACCTACAATAGTGTATTTATTTCGTTTAGTTAGAGCCCAAACATACCACTTACATATCATTCTGAAAGATACCAGTAGTTACAACAGGCAATGTGGTTTTGTAGCTACATAGATGACTAATAATCTGTGGATTTGTAGGACGATTGTGATAGAGACTCGACCGGCAGAAGAAACCAACATCTCCAGCAACATCTACATTCTGGTCTCCGAAGACACCCCGCCGCCCAACCAGTAGCAGCAGCTCCGCCCATAACCACACCCACTGCTCTCGTTTGGTCTTACTCGTCGCCTCGGAAACTTCGATATTGTCATAGGGAACTGTTTTCGTTTTTCCTAATATTATTTGCCTCTTTCGAGGACTAATTCATTCCTTTCGCTTACTCATTATCGTATGTATGTAGACAATTATTTTTTTCACGCACCGTACGTCTTCGCAATAGCCTGTGTATTTTACTTATTATATAATGTGTGGTAATCCGTACTGTAGTACGGTGTATATAAATATCATGCACCATTATTTTTGTACTTGTCTTTTAGTCTCTTATAATCGTTATGCTCTTTGACTTGCATGAATTCAACTGTGTGTTCCATTGTGGTATATATTTCTCACCTGATGATGATAAAATAACCAAGTCTGACAAGTGACAAAAGTCACTGCAGTGCAAGAAAGGCACCTAACACGTCCGGCAAAGACAAAATGAAGCGCAGAAGTATAAATAAATATTATACTCCATGCTTTAAAGTTCTGATGCATATTTATATCCAATATAAGTGTCCCTTGCAGTATATTATTCCATGTTCCTTCTCCATCTCCCTTGGATGCCATGAGTTTAGTGCCTAGTATTAACTCCATATAAATTTTATGGATGGACATTTTGTGTGTTTGCATGGGGGAAGAGAGAAGAGTGCTAGGATTGAGAGGCCCTCCTCCGCGCCACATGCATTGGCTTTTGAATGCCTGATACACGAGTCCCGCCCCCACCCCATCCCAGAACCGGAAGGCCCTACATTCACGCGATGTTCTAGTGTCACGTGTAGTTTAGCCTACGTTCATGCACAAGTCATCAGGGAGCTCCTCGGATCATCGTGTAGGACACGGTTTCGTCCCTTAGTCTCCCGACTTATCTTATGGACTATAGCTGGACACTTTGTGTGTCTGCGCTGGTTTAAGTGTTGAGTCACCTCCATCTAGTTCAGTGCTCAGCTCATGCTAACCATGCTACTGTAAAAAGTGTGCATTGTATAAGCACTGCTTTTTTCACCAGCTACCTCACTAGGTATACATAGGCCTGAAGCATGTGTGAAAACTGCAAAGTCTGTGAATGCAGTTCAATTCAAACTGTGGAAAACCACCACCTTCTGCTTCACAACAAGTATATATGACTTCATATATAGGCAAGAAAAAGCGAACATTGTAGAAACATGTAATGAGATAAGTTACGATACCACTTCGCAATTAGTATTAGTGCCTATTATTCAAAGTGGGTCACTGGAGTTTGTTCATTGACTTATATGAGGTTGTGTCTTCCTCTGGAACTGCAAACTTCCTCTGACTATAAGGAATACAAGAGAAGAGGCTCAGTCGTGCGTGCGTGTGTGTTGTGGTGTGTGCGGCAGAATACACTGTATAGCTTTAGTAGGCAATTAGGGGCAGCCATGCTATAATATGCCACTCATCTCTTATGTAATGGTGATTGTCAATCTATGTAATATACGATAATACCTGGTGTGTGAAGTAGGAGAGGTCTTGCTGGCAGGGGTCAAGTGAGAGCTGATTTACTGGGACTTGGTCCGAGGTGACCACATGGATTTCACTGGAGCTGGAACTGTACATACGTATTTTATGGAGGAAAGGAATTAACACTTAACCAGCCACCCACACATAAATGTGCCCAGAGACTCCATAAGTATACTAGGCGCTAATACATTATACATCAGATCCCATGGCCCAGCAGCAATACAAACACAAGGCAAAGTCAAATCGTAACACGAACACGTTAATGTGAAGAGCAGATTGAGAGCTATAAAGACACGCAACAGGCCTATGACGGCTGTGTTGGTTATCAGAGCTACCCTTCATCATGGCAGGAGGGAAGGCAGGGGGGCAAAGGGTGGAGCCTGTAGCAGAAGCAGCTGTGGTATGTGTATAGTGGTCAATAAGGAACTTGATCATGTACTATATGTGTACCTCTAGGTAGGACGTGTCTGGGTGCAGTATGAGATATGGGCATCAGACCTGGTACACCTGGTATATATATAGCAACAGAACACATCACATATTATACATCGTGGTTTTGTCTTCGCAAATTCCGATGACATTGGAGCTGATTTTGTGCTGATTCGGCAGTCACATGACCACTAACCAATCGTAGTGCAGTAATTATGCACATTGCATTCTACCGGCAGAGCACGCGGATAACATGTGACGATACTGATTCAGCCATAATAAAAACTGCTCCAACGTCGCCAGACCCTTGTGGGTAGCGACGAGGCTATAATCCACAATGAAGAGAAGACAGAGAGAGTGTTTGTGGATCAGACCTCGAATCAAACTTGCACTGAGGATGAATGAAGAGACACTTGTTTCCATACTTACAGTGGGGAACATCCTGCAAAGACAAACAGAGAATAGCAATACAGCCTCTTACCATGAAGAAAAACTGTAATACATCATGTATAACTTGTTGGCAGTATAGTGAAATTCTGAAAAATGGCTCTACTTCATACTATATACTCATCCACTATCTGATAATTAGGCCACTTCTACAACTCTGCCCCTGAAATGAGGACCCTCTCTAACAGGACACTTTTCCCAAGAACAGTTCTTGGATGCACTTAACCCCTAAAAAGGACAGCTCACTAAAAACACACTTTCTTCAGTCCATTAGTGTCCGAATACTGGTGTATGTAATATGATCTGTACCTGCACTTGGCAGAAGGGTGGTGAAAGGGGCAAGAGTCGGCTTTCTTACAGTTGGGCCAGAAACGACACCTCTCCGGCATACCGCTCCCTCCTCCTCGAACTGGTGCCTCCCCTGCTGCAAGGACACCACTTTCAACCCTGTTGCTGACATGCCAGTGCCACGTGGAGTAACTAAGAACTTTGACCGAATCTTTGGTTTTGTCTAGGAGCTGTAGCTCAGTATCACTAAGTACGGTAGTACAGTAGTATATAAGGGATGGCACAGGTATATAGTTCACTATACACTTCCAGTGTCATGACACAAGTTTAACTCCCAAAAGAAGTTGGTTCTCTGTCTTTCCCTCCTGACTGGTGTCTTCTATCATTCTCAACCACCAGCTGGTCTCAACCAAACAGATAGTTCTCACATTACACACAGCATAAAAAGGTCTGTATTGTGCTGTCATAATCTCGGCAGGGTCTTGTAGAGGTGAAGGTTTACACTTGCAAATCCCACCCAATGCACTTTGGGAGTTGATTACACAAGTCAAACTCCTAGATGCATCCCTGAGGCCACTTCCTTTTTGAAAAATCAATGCAGGATTTGTATCATAACTCTGAATTAGGGTTCTCCTAGAATTTCCTACTATAATTGTCAGATTGGTTAGGTTGACTAGTGAGGTAGTTTCAATTAGAAATGTGGCACATTCTTTGGGAAGCTGTGCATTTCTACTCCAACTAAAGTGGAATTTAACACTAGAATTAGGTTGTTATGTATGAAAACAACTATTGGCAGTACCACATGTACCACTTGACATATACTACACTCCAGTAACCAACTCTACGATGCCTTGCTAAGGAACACTCATTTTGCTTACGAGAGGCTGCAGTGAATGGTAAAACAGTGAACACAATCTTTAAACTATTACCTGCAAGTATATACTGTATATATGTAGTGCTGTATGTTGCACACTGTGATCACGATATAGCACTACCCTATCGCACTACATACAGCACTACATATAGCACTACATATAGCACTACATATAGCACTACATACAGTACCTTGTGTGAAGTCTGGTTGTTTGATGTACTGACACACAAACTCCACTACTGCGTGCAATTCAGACAAGAGTTTGGTGCCAGTACAACCAGACCTCACGTACAGTAGGGTGCTACATATATCACAACTCAGTCACAACTCAGTCACACTACATATATCACAACTCAGTCACAACTCAGTCACAACTCAGTCACACTACATATATCACAACTCAGTCACACACACTTGCACTACATGTTATACACCTTCCACTGCTCCTTGTGTCTTCTGCGAGCTCCCTCTCTCCTCCTTTTGCTCCTCCTCCGCCTCTCCCTCTCGCTCCTCCCCCTCTCGCTCTACATTATAACCCTCATCCAGTCCGTCCATCGTCACCACGAAATGTGTCCTACAGGACAAACTGTCAGATACTGTCCTATAGGACAAAGAACAATGTCTACTACTCTCTATTCTCCAAACGTAGGAGAACGCTGTTGTACAGGATACAACACTACAGCTTTCTAGAGACAAACATAATATTTGGCGAGCGGGAGTGGCAAAAAATGCCCATGCATTCGCCTACTAGTATACAGACAACACTAGCTGTTATAGGACAAAGTAATTGCAATGCCATTGTGTAGGACCAGAGACATACTAGGACAAATTGTCATATACTCATACTGTACAGCTTGCAGCTAGATGTCCTATAGGACAAAGTCAGTACCGTGGGAAAAAGCCAGAAGCCAGTATTGGCCCTATAGGACAACAATGCTAGTGTTCGTCCTATAGGACAACGCCAGTGTTTGTCCTACAGGACAACGCCAGTGTTCGTCCTATAGGACAATGCCAGTGTTCGTCCTACAGGACAACGCCAGTGTTTGTCCTACAGGACAACGCCAGTGTTCGTCCTACAGGACAACGCCAGTGTTCGTCCTACAGGACAACGCCAGTGTTCGTCCTACAGGACAACGCCAGTGTTCGTCCTACAGGACAACGCCAGTGTTCGTCCTACAGGACAACGCCAGTGTTCGTCCTACAGGACAACACCAGTGTTTGTCCTACAGGATACAGCAAGCACTCGTCCTATAGGACAAAGTCCAGTGGCCTCACTCACTCCTGTTGTTTCTTGGTGGCACTGTGGTGTCGGTGGAGGTTTTGGACTCTCTCTCTGTTGGTTGATGAGTTGCCTCAGATCAGTCAGTTCCTTCTGCCCCGGGAGGACCTTCCTCAGAGCTGTTATCACTGCCAACTCAACCTGATGTGTACAGTTTTATATGTATTTCTATGTGTTTTACTTATTGTGTGTGTATCTGTGTGTAATGGGTGGTGGTGGTGGTGGTTCTTTATTTCATTATAATATTTGTATGGCTAGATATCATGCATAGGAAAATAATTACTCTAAATTTGTAAGGATGTCACATCATGCAAACAAGGGAAAACAAGAAGATGCCTACGCAGACACAGAAAGTCATTCATACCCTATTCTTATGTACATCTCTTGCCTGTAATGCACGATAAGTACATACTTTACACAGCAGAAAATAAATATTTACAATCAACAACCAAGACGTATATACAGGATGGGTATGATGTAAGCACATACAGATGTAGGGATGGGGTTATGAACGACTTTCTGTCTGTGTATATACTAGGCATACTGTACATCTTCTTGCTACCACTGTTATCGTAAGTGTTTAACCTTTCTAGTGGTTTCATCTGAGACGGCTCTTTCCTCTATCTTCTCACTGGGTTCTCCTTCTACTTTCAGCTGCATGTATATGAAGAAGAAAAAGATGTCTACTAACATTGAATATTATTATATTGGGTCTTCTCCACTCAATAATACTGTGTACGGAGATATGAGACATTAGGACCAGAGTTAATAGCCTCTCCGAAATGCTGTCTATGCCTACACACAGCTCAGATGCAGCTTGCAACTACCGCAGGATAGCATCATCTTCTTGTTACATTCGCCTCACACCCCACCTCCCTCCTCCTCCATCCCCCTCGTCCCTCAATTTCCTTCCTCCCCATCTCCCCGAATCCTCTCTTTCTCTACCTCTACCACTGCTCGCGTTCACTCTTGAAACTACACTACCTCTGCACTGCAGCCACAAGAAACGCATGATCAAGTCACAAGAGAAAGGCAGCAGAGACCCCTCTCTATAGAACCATTACATCCTTGAATGAAGCACTCTACAGTATGTAGTACATTCGAGTCACTTTATGCTGCAGCCAGTCATCAATAATTGACAGTGCTGTGTGGCGTAGGCCAGCCCCCAATTAACTGCGCTTTTTTCCTGCATTGCATGGTTGCAGTGGTAGCACTGCATGTTTTGTCTTGCAATATATCTGCTATCTGCACCAGACACCACACACATTATACATACATGTAGAGATAGTAGCCGGGAGTATATATAGTGGAAATGAAGTAGTAGTGTTGGCCATAAAAAGTGCGAGAATATAATGCAACATTATTCACATTTCCTTCCAAGTACTGGGTGGTCTGATGGATATGGTACACACACACTGGATCCCAATGTCAGTGGTTCGATCCCCGTCTGCGCATCTTTTTTATCTTTTTCTTATATGACTATTGGGTATAGAGGAACCTTTTTCACACCTAGCGAAGACAGCTCTCCTGCCAGCTCGCGTGGCTCGTGGTTGTAGATGCTTGGACTGACCATAGGTGCCCGGTTCGAATCCTCGATCCGCACTAAAGTGTCAGGTGGTCCCAGAGCATTGGCTGGGACAGCTCTGGTTCCTCCCTTAACCCACATATCTAACACTGAACCAGTTTCTTCTCAAAGGGCAGCCGGTACAGTGTTCGGCATGTGCACTGCGTCCGTAGACGTCTGTCTCGGAGAGCTGAAGGGCCGGTTTGTATTAGATAATGTTTCAACCTTAGACATTTTTTCAAAACCTTTTAAAATACCATGGTTTTTGGCTCACACCATCTATTTCACAGTTGTAACGTCCATAATTTTTTCTGCATGGGCAGTATGTTTAAAAGCATTTGCACTGCGTCCATAGACAGGGCTGGGGCTTTTTCAACCTTAGAAATTATCGTTTTTGGCTGAAGACAAACATGAAATGGTGCATACATTAGTTAATATTGGCAGTAATTTTTAAGTGTTTACACTTTGAGTGCGTTTCATTACCTACGGCGCGCATGCGCAGCGAGGGTACTGTAGTTGGTTTGGTGTGTGTGTGTGTCTGTTACTCTACTCTCACTTTCGAATGTTTGTTCGTCTCAACAAACGATATGACCTACTCAACGGGCAATGAGGTCAGAAATTTTGTGGGGTTTTCTCTGAAATGCTCCGTTTGCAAAGCTAGAGCGCTTCTCCAGCATTGTATGGCTATGCCGGTAGTCGCCATTTATCGCTGGCGGATATGCGCATAGTCGCTTATATTTAGCACCGACCGGGTCCGCTTGCTCTGTCTATCTTGAAGGCACAAGAAGTCCACACGAATGGCGTGTATCCACTCCTGCGTGCTATCTACTACTGTAGCCATGACTCTTGCGAGCTACTCACGGGAGACCACGAGGTAAACGCATACAGCCCAGCCATCAATTTTAGGGGTATATATATACCGCACATGCGCAGTTCACCGAGGGTTTGCACTTTAGTGCTTTTCATTTTCTGAAATTAACTATATAGGGAAAAAAAGCATGATTCACCTTTCATGAAAAAAGGCACTGTGCATTCGTAAAAAATGAGTACACATAATTATTGTATGAATGTATCCACTCACCGTGCGTTTCTCTTGTCTTTCGCTTTCTGTCACAAGTTCCGGCCAGCTCCCTTCTTCCTCTACCCTCCCTCTCCCTCTCCTCCCTCCCTCCCCTCCTCCCCCTCTCCCTGGAGTGATCGTGACGACGGAACTGTTTCAGAGGTGGAGCAGCCAGTCCTTTGATAGCTCTTGCCAGTAATCTACTACCTCCCTCTATAGACAAGTGAGTCCTGCACCACACATTACACACCGTGAACACTGGTAGAGCACACATTGTAACATGTGCACCAACACTGTTGAAGTAACCTATATCCATGCTATTGCTAGCATACTGTGCTTCTGTGAGACTTGGCTAAATGCATCTCAGCCTTCCCCTGTGTTACTAGATGACCAGATTTACATCAGAGTGATAGACTACATTGTGCTTACATACATACACATTTAAAGCGAAGTTATGGAGAAGTACATACGCATAAAACCCACCTTTCCGGTATTTCACAACACTAGACAGCCCTCCCCTTCTTCCTCCCTCTCTCCCTCTTCCCCTCTCAAACTCCTCCTCTTCCTCTTCTCCCTCCTCTCCTTCACTTCCACTGTGAGAGTAGCGCCTGCCAGACAGGTAGGTGGGTGGAGCCGACCTTTCACCTTTCTTACGAGCTATGAGAACCCTAAGATCATCACTCTTAGATAGCTGCAGGACAATTTAAGTAAAACATGGAATTTTTAGGGGGAAAATGAGTTTGAGCAGTTTTTAAAGCGTAAGTGTACGTGCTATGAACTATAATTTCATGCTGAGATAAAGTGCTTGACCTGGTGCAGAAACAAACATGCAGACATAGTGTATCTATGTTGTACATCTGTGGGACAATGCATTGCGTAACTTACTTTGATGGGGCGAGTTGGTTTGACAATGGACTCATCAATATCTTCTTCCACCTTCCCCCCTCCCTCCACAGTCCCTCTCCCCTCTTCTTCCTCTCTTTCCCTTCCTCCCTCTCCTCTCTCTCTCCTTCCGTCGCCCTAGCAACTTTCACCTCTCCACTCCCCTTCCTTGCTGACTTCCCCTCCGACACACCACCGCCCCTGTGCTTAGAGGGTTTCCCCCTCCCCCCTTCCCCCCTCCTCCCTCCCTCCCTCTCTTCCTCCCAATCCAGCGCTGGGTGAAGCTCGAGCTCGTCTTCGCTCTTGCTTCGTTGCTTGCTTCCACTTCTCTTTGAGCCGGATTCGCCCGGAGAGTCCTCAGAGATGTGGGCGGTCTCTTCGCGTCCTGCGTCGTCAGTTTTTGAGTCACTCTTTGTCCTAGCGTGCTCTCCCTCCTTTTCATTGGGTTCTGATGAAATGAGTTGGTGACAGTTGAAGGGAATGTTGCCGTAACATTATAATATCATAAGAGCTAAATTGGGACATGTTAATTTGCAGGTACACTTGTGTGTAGACAAGCAAAAGTCAAGGATACTCCGTGCAAACGTACTGTTTAAGATGTGTATGTATGTATGTATACACAAGCATTCCCACTGACCGACACACTAAAACTACCAAGTACCGTAACCCTCGATATGCACGCTCGCCGGAAATGAGCAAATACAACTTCTCATGGTATTTATATCACATGATGGTTCATGTGACAATGGCAGTTGGCGTTTGTGTGCACGTGTGCATGGTAGCTATGCAACTGTATATAACTGGAGTTAAGAAAGTGATGTGTTATGTACTCTCACATCATCATAATTCTAACCTGAGGATGTCTTAGTTTTCACGGGCACAGTGCCTCCATTATCCACCGCCTCCTGTAGCCAGTCAATGAAATTGGAGGTGTCGTCTCCAAGGAATAGCTGCAGGTCGTTACTGATCTGATGGAATGTCTTCTTGTTCACCAACATCACCATAATGTAGTCTGGGAGCTCATTATCTAGTGGGACAAGGGGGAGGGAGAGGGGAGGAAAGGAGAGGAGGGAGAGGGGAGGGAAAGAGGAGAAGGCATAGAGGGATGGAGGGAGGGAGAGAGAAGGCAGAGAGGAAGAGAAAAGAATAAAGATAGAAGGGAAGTAAGCAAGAGGTACAAGAGGGTAGTGGAAAAGAAATGGAGCGGGAGCAGAGAAGAAGAGGTGGAGAAAGAGGAGAAAGTGAAAAAGTTAGAGAAGAAAAAGAAGGCAGACGAGAATGTCTGAAGAAAGAACTGATGCAGAACTAGGTCCAGACTTTCTCACCGATATAGGCATTGCACTCTTTCAGTTTATCAAATGATGCCCAGCTGCAAAACAGACGGAGCACACGTATCATAAAGTAGAATTGTAGTACGTAGTGAACTTACTCGAAGTTGCTCATTATTTAGAGTCATCTCTGCCAAAGTCGGGAAAGCAGGTGGAAGGGGCAGTTGTAACTCTGAAGATACTGTCCTAGTTCCTAGCTACTCGCTGCTAGGCTCCAACACAACTGTGGCAGCGACTATTATGCTATCCAACAACACACGCTGACATGTGTTTCGGCTTTTACGCATGTGTAACACTCTTATTACCGCACGCGCGCGTATAACAACATAGCGCGCGCATGCGCAAATCACGTGCTCTTGTCACATGATATTCACCGAACCATCATGTGATAAATTACCAGAGAGACACTGATTTTGACGTTTGACTGGTTTTCTGTGCAGGCCCAACACTCTCTTGATCGGCAGTGAGATTGCAATTGTGTCCCTCTACGATCCTCTCTCTACCGACAAGAATGAGCGGAGCCATTCTGCTGGTCGTGTTGGCCACTACTACTGTTCTCTTGTGGCTCGCCTCTCCAGGTCCATAGTAATAGATAGCCTTCAGATTCATATATGGAGTCCGAGGTATTAGATGTGCGTGAGAACGTCGTATTAAAGGTGCGCGCGAAGGTCCAACCGCCTTCATACAGTATATAGCAGCCGTGACAGCGTATAGCGACAGTATAATGATTGCTGTATGAGTATAATGTCTACATTATGCATGATTGGGTAATAGTTTTTCTCGCGACTGCAAAACGTATGCAAGTGTTTATGAGGGGTTTGTAGCAGCTTGTGCCTATGCAGTTCTGGTTGCTGGAAGACACGAGCTGAAGTGTGCGTCAATATTTGTCCTCATGTAGTGCCAGAAGCGTTGGACAGTGTTTTGCGTGCACTTAGAACATTGAGAGTGTGTAATATGCAATATTCGGTGTGACACATTACTTCTCTCTTCTTTTCCTCTTTTCCTCTCTCCTCTCCCTCTCTCTCTCCCTTCCAATTCCCACTGATTTTTCTCCCTTCCTTCCTTACCCCCCCCCCCCCTTCTTGTTTCTCTCTCTCCTCCTTTCTGCAGTAAACTGTGGCAGTCCAAGGATAACCAACAGTCAGTATGTCTATCAGTATGAGGAGAACGACCAAATTTGTGTGTATGGCTCATTCAAAATATCCTTCGACATATTTTTCGATAACGCCGAAACAGACTCTCAGGTACGTGCAAGACTTGTAACTACACAGCGATATAACAACGATGGAAGGTCTTGACAATAATAAGATAATATAGGAGGGGCAAAACTGTGTTTGTTGGTTTTAAAATAGGGGTGGGCGGAGCACCTTTTCCATGTGTTAGACTCCGGTGGTAAGATATGAGCAAGGGGGTGAGTCCCCGTCCCTGGCCCCTAAAGTGAACGTATGTACACATAGTACGTAAGTGGTCTGTCGGGATTCATCCTTTCTTCCTTACATATGACAATATTTTGTGTTCAAATCTTTGTTACTCGCAATCCCCCCTTTTTTCTCTGTGCAGCCACCCCACAAGAAGCTCTATTTGCCAGACAGACATGGCGTTAGTGTCAATGGCTCTTGTAGCCAGTCTGAGCCTGAGCTGCTGCTGCTCTGGCAGAACAACTCTCTTAGAATGACATTTGGAAGGGTACGCCTGCAGTAGGTAGCAATTGCACAGTAGTGCATCCACCATATGTATGTATGTCTTTGAAAAGAAAGAGCTGTCCTGGGTGTAGTTGACTTGTTTGCCTTGCCTTACCTTGCCTTTCTGACCCACCTCGTTACCAAGTTGTTGAGACATGTATGTATGTGAGGTATCTGGTTTTTCCTAGTGTGTTCTTGGTTGCTCTGACGCATCATTTTCATGTAAATAACAAAAAAAGTCAATGTGTATACAAGCAGAGTTCACAGAGCTGTATTTGCGTAATTATAATATGATAATTTAACGCTGGTTGCAAAAACTGATTCTGTGTCTCAAAACTAAGACCGTTGAGTCAGCACAACAAGAAATTGAGTCACCAGACCCTGCGGGGTCTGGGTAGGAGACAGTAGTAAAGTAGCATCCAAAAAACCTCCTTACTTACCCTTACATGTTGCTCTTACTTTACCAGTTTGATTTTTCTCTCAATGCAGGGGAAAGGAGAGTGGGAACTGAAGGAAATAACATTGGTCTACTATCTCCACACCACCGAATTCACCAACGCTACAAAACGTATAATTATATCCTTCCCTTGCAGTAGTGCTAAAAGCCCTTTATGCTTTGTATGTATGTACAGTGGAACCTCTGAACAAGGGACACTATGGGGCTAACAATTTTGTCCCTTCCTATCTCGGAGGTCAAATAGCATGGGGTTGAAACAAGTGTCCTTTGTAGAGAGGTTGTCCCTATCTCAGAGGTCAAATAATACACTAAAGTTTTAGCATGGGGTTGAAACAAGTGTCCTTTGTAGAGAGGTTGTCCCTATCTCAGAGGTCAAATAATACACTAACGTATTAGCATGGGGTTGAAACAAGTGTCCTTTGTAGAGAGGTTGTCCCTATCTCAGAAGTCAAATAATACACTAAAGTTTTAGCATGGGGTTGAAACAAGTGTCCTTTGTAGAGAGGTTGTCCCTATCTCAGAAGTCAAATAATACACTAAAGTTTTAGCATGGGGTTGAAACAAGTGTCCTTTGTAGAGAGGTTGTCCCTGTATCTCAGAGGTCAAATAATACACTAACGTATTAGCATGGGGTTGAAACAAGTGTCCTTTGTAGAGAGGTTGTCCCTGTATCTCAGAGGTCAAATAATACACTAACGTATTAGCATGGGGTTGAAACAAGTGTCCTTTGATATAGAGAGGTCGTCCCATCTCGAGGTCAAATAATACACTAACGTATTAGCATGGGGTTGAAACAAGTGTCCTTTGTAGAGAGGTTGTCCCTGTATCTCAGAGGTCAAATAATACACTAACGTATTAGCATGGGGTTGAAACAAGTGTCCTTTGTAGAGAGGTTGTCCCTATCTCGAGAGGTCAAATAATACACTAACGTATTAGCATGGGGTTGAAACAAGTGTCCTTTGTATATAGAGAGGTCGTCCTAATCTCGGAGAGTCCCTTATCGGAGGTTTCAATGAAACCAGTAATCTCTAAGAGTTTTGTAGTGCATACAGTATTGCGCGTCCCTCCCCTATTCCCAGATGGACTGCAGAGCATTCACACCAACAGCAGCCGTCTCTTCAAGCGAAAGTTCAAGACAAGCGAGTATTTCTACTGCAAGAACTGCAAGACGTATGAGTTTGGTCGCATACAACGAGTCAGTCTGCCAAAACAGCTGCCAGTTGCCGTGCGTAAACAGTACCACCAGTTACTGCTCCAGAGTCCACATGGAGAAATCTGTCATCTTTGTCGGAGATCCGTCCAAAGCTAGCAGTCAGTCCTTTTTTAATAATTATACGTACAGTGTATTTGTTAACTGTTATATAACAAGTTGGAAGTACAGCTATTCACACAATTAGCAAATAGAATATGATGGTAGTTTACTAATTCATCCCCTATACAAATTGTCACTGCTCACAAAACGTAATACTGCTTTGGACAAGGCCTTTAGCTTAAATCCATATTTCTAGTCAGTGTGTACTTAACCCTTCCCCTCCTCTCCACCTCTCCCATTCTCAGAGCGGCTCTGTCTTGAAGACTTCATTGCACTGCAAGAGATAATTGTTCCAATTGCAGTGGGCGGAGTTTTAGCTCTCCTTCTCATCCTCATATTTGTAGCCTACATCATTGCGTACGTCAGAAGACGTCGAAGGGAGGCCAAGTCTCAGTACGAACCAGTCGGGGATTTCTAGCAACCGTTTTTCTCGTGTGTTGTTGTGTGTGTGTGCATATAATTGTTATATATTTTACCTGCATTGAGTGTGGATTGATTCAAGTAAACGCACCTTCGTTTAGTTTCGCACGTTCTTCCTGGACTGATGCTTTTGAGCTGATCTAGCTAGCTGCGAGCGGATCTTCAAAATGCGGATGTTTGCGCATGCGCATTTCCGTGCGGTTTCGCCGATATCGCGACACGTACACGCAGCAGGTGTTTCAAACTAGACGCTGCGCCTGCTACACGGAAATACGTAGTGTAACTGTATGTAGCTATGATAATAAGTGGTGAATGCTATTACTAGCTCCACACATAGCTACGTTTTAGTGACATCGGTGCCGCCTTCATTTTTGCACTCAGTATAATATATAGTGGGTGCCCTTTCTTCTTGCAGGCCTTCATTGAGTCCCATGGCTATCCCCATCTGCACCCCCTCAAAAGTAAGCTATAGTTAGCTAGCTAATATATATCCCTTTCTGCTCTGTGCTCTGCTGTAGAATCATGCACGCTTTGTCTGTATGCAAAATCATGAGAAAAGAGGGCTTCTAGTATTATATTATGACGTTGATCTTACTATATTATGGCTGTGTGTATATATCTCTTCTTCTCTTGGATGCAATATATACTAAGGCAACATAATGCGAAAGGGGCCTCTGGTATTACAGCATTTATTCTAGTTTTCGTTATACTTCTCTCAATAAAGTTACTTTGCCAAAACCTAGTCAATACTATCTCGATACCACAGGGAATTGAAGCAAGCAAGCACTGAGTTTAAGCTGATACTCGTACACCCAGAAGACACTATAGATACAAAAGTGACGTTTGATGACAACTCAATCGAAAATATTTGGAGATACCATGAACTAGCAAGCAAGCCGCATATTACTGGTAAAACATAGTCAAACCTATAGCTGTAATCATAATGTAGCTATTGCCGCGAAAGCTGGAAACATTCACTGTTAGCTACTTTCTTCAACATGTGTGCATCCTTGTATATTCACACTACCAAAGTGAGCAATAATTTTACTGGTGATATACTTTCATGTGCTGTTGTAATCATCCCACAGAGATTTTCGAAGTCCAGCCTGTCGGTGGGTTGAATGTCAAGATACTTGGTCTTGCTACACCAAGCGGGGATCGGTTAGAGCTCTCAGTTGTTGAGGATACTATGGGAGTGCCTGATAGGTTTCCTCGATTTCGACAAAGTGACATTGAGGTTAAAAATCAGACAACCAACATTTCTATACTCTGCTGCTTCATGCTTCAGAATGCATCTGAAGAATCCTTGCTTAATTAAGATAATATTACAGGCTGGTTCACAAGACGAGGCTTATCCCACACTAGCCCTAAGCACAGATGACAACAAAAACGGAAGTATAGCTATAATATACACAGTGAGAGTTTACTCTGCCATAGCACAGAGTGTGTTGTATATAGAATTTACCCCTTGTCTGCTGAGCTGCCTATAAGGTCAGTGAGTAAGGGGGCTCTACCTAGAGAATGCAGAGTAACGTAGGTTTGAGTACAAGATGTAGTTTCTATATATAACATAATGTACACACAAAAACGGGGTGATTGTATAAAGCAGAAGCACAGTAAGTGTGTAGTTTGTGCTCCAATAAAAGGTAGCCGCATGGTCTATTATTATCTCTCTGGCTGTAGGTCATGTCTGGTGCAGTCCAACTCCATTCCGAGTTCACACAAGAAAACGAACGCAGAATGCAGAGTAACGTAGGTTTGAGTACAAGATGTAGTTTCTATATATAACATAATGTACACACAAAAACGAGGTGATTGTATAAAGCAGAAGCACAGTAACTGTGTAGTTTGTGCTCCAATAAAAGGTAGTTGCATGGTCTATTATTATCTCTCTGGCTGTAGGCCATGTCTGGTGCAGTCCAACTCCATTCCGAGTTCACACAAGAAAACGACACAAGTTCACGGATGATTGCCTTCAGCTTTGTCACTGTTCGTGAGCCCACTAGAGTCTATTTCGTCCCATGTTCAGGCAGAGACTCCCGAATTGAAACGAAAGTGACAAACGTTCCTCAGTATTACTTTGAATTTGCAAGCATCTCGGAGAAAGAGCTTGAGAAGATTGAGATGAAGAAGTAACTGCTCATCCGAAACTTTGTTTGGGAGTAATGGTAAAAGAATGATGTAGTTGTGTATAATTATATGCCTGAGGCTGAGTTTTTTTGCAGCTGCACTATAAAATATTGCGGATTAACATTAGTATATACACTGTAGTTTTATAGGGTGTGTGAGAGGATAATGGGGGGCATTTAAGTGGCTCCCAACAATGTACAAAACGTCAGTGTTTGATAGCCACAAATGTAAACCGTGGCTTGTCTAACATTCCACTGCACTCTGAAGGTGTACTGAACTCTCCATTTTGTCACCACTGCATCAGCCAGTGAGCAATTCTATATAATATTGATGAAGACTGTGTCCAGTTGCTTCTGGACTCAAGGTGTGTGTCTGTCATATGTGTTGGGTTTGGGCAGTATAGGTGCCATCAAGAGAAAGGAATACCAAGGTGACTGGTAGAGTTTACCGGTGGCCAAAGATGTATTTATTACCCAAGGCCAGGGCTGACATGCACTATGCCCGGGCCACGTCTTTAATGTTACTGTCCTATAGTCTCCACGTGATTGCTGCTCATTTCTGCGGATACTCAGATGTATTTTATGCTCTTTTGACAACTCGTTTTATAAATATTGTTGTTAGCTACTATGTCCTGCTATACTCCCGCTTTCCTCAAGTTTTTGAGTCTATCTAGGTGTGCTAGCCCGTGTGTTTACGTTGGATACAAGTAAGTGGCTTCCTCGCCCTTCTTTATTCTTCCTTTTTTCCTTACAGTATGTGAGTCAATCGTATGTGGTGAATAAACCTAGTGCTTTTGCTGCCCCACGATTGTTTTGTAGAACATTGGCAAACCAGCACATGAGACTCACAGGTGCAAATAATATGCACCTGGCACATGCGAAGCAAGGATTGCGAAATTAGCCTGCATTCTTTTAGAGTCACATACGTCGTCATTTAATACGCTATGGGCGGCAACGTTAGATGTACAGTAGTAAAGATCTTACATTCAGACAAAATTATTGGTAATCTCACTTCACTCACCAACCATTAGTGTTAAGTATAATTATATTAACCTAATGATTGAGGTTACACTGAATGCACAACATACGCGGCGGTGGTGAGTGAATTATGGCAATGTAATTACACACGCAAACTATTACTGGCAATGATATTATTATGGTGGTCGTGTAATGACGACAATGTTACAGAGTGGGTCGGTCACCAGTCAATGTGGGAGAGTTGTATGTTAAAGATTCCGATAATTTCGTTATAGTCTTGGCCTCTTTGTGTGTCTTTGCTTGTGCCCCTTGTTAACCCTCGCTGCGCATGCATGAACCTCGGCGCGCATGCGCAGCGAGGGTACTGTTTGTCTGTGTGTGTCTGTCTGTTACTCTCAATCTCACTTCTCGAATGTCTGTTCGTCTCACAAACGATACGACCTACCTAACGGGCAATGAAGGTCAGAAATCTTGAACGGTTTTCTCTGAAAATACTTCGTTGCAAAGCTAGAGCGCTTCCGCCATTGTACGTCTAATGCTAGTCGGCCATTTTTATCGCTGCGGAAAATGCGCATGCGCTTATATTTGAACAGGCTCGGGTCCGCCTGCTCTGTGTATCTTGAAGGCACGAGAAGTCACAACCAAGGGCGTGTATCGACTCCACATGCTATTACTAGTCTACTGTAGCTAGCCAGTGTCAGACGCCATTTTATCGCTGGCGGATAATGCGCATGCGCTTATATTAGCAAAGGACCGGGTCCGCTTGCTCCTTCTATCTTGAAGGCACAAGAAGTCACAACGAATGGCGTGTATCGACTCTCGCGTGCTATCTACTACTGTAGCTGGCCCGTGTCAGACTCTCTGCGAGCTACTTCGCCGAGGGTTTGCACTTTAGTGCTTTTCATTGGGTCTGTCTGTATTGTCTGTCTGTGTGTCTGTCACTCTTCATCTCACTTCTCGAGTGTTCTTTCGTCTCACAAGGATACCACCTACTGAACGGGCAATGAAGGTCAGAAATTTCGAACGGTTTTCTCTGAAAACGCTCCGATGCAAGCTAGAGCGCTTCCACCATTGTACGGCTAATACGTAGTCGGCCATTTTTATCGCTGCGGATAATCGCTGCGCTTATATTTAGCACAGGACCGGAGTCTGCTTGCTCTGTGTATTTTGAAGGCACAAGAAGTCACAACGAAGGATGTGTATCGACTCTCGCATGCTATCTACTACTGTAGCTAGCCCGTGTCAGACTCTCTGCGAGCTATATGCTAGCGGGAGACGGCGAGTAAACGCATACTAATATACCGCGCATGCGCAGTTCGCCGAGGGTTTGCACTTCAGTGCGTTTCATTTCTTTAGTACTACAGTATTGTTATCCCTGAAACCCATTAATTTGGCTTGGGGGTTTCAAAAAAGGAGCTCTTTGAGATGCCAAGAAGCCAATGTTGATAGCTAGCTATGTACATGTACACAATAAATTCATCAAGATACCAAGAGATGACGTATGGACTCAGACGTGCCTCGACACATGTGCGAAAAATAATATGGCCCACGAGACTATAACGTATACTCCCTCGCGGTAAACGCTGTTAGCCCTATTTAGTTCGTATAATAATAACAACAGTGTCATTTTTGGTAACTTTGCGCATGTGCACAAAATTAATGCTCCCACCTGCACCTGTGATGACAAGTGCAGATCTTTCGCTATCTTGTGAGAACCTCCCCTCAATACTGAGTATAATAGTAATCATACTGAGTTTAATAGTAAGTATAATTATAGTAATTCATGTTCTGCCCGCACATTGCTCTGTTGTGCTGACGACACTGAGACCAGGATACAAAAAATTGTTAGCAAAATGACAGCAATTTAATAATCGCAAAAGGGTAAAATAGTGATGTTTAATTTATGCTTTGTCTTGAGTGTATAATGCTACATCATAGTTTTCCACCTCAAGTGCTTCTGTTGCAGTAGTTATGGTGTTACTCGAGGAAATAATAGTGAGGTTACTTCTGTTGCTTAGAGTTTGGAAGACGTGTTCAGGGTCATTAGTCTCCTTTGTCTCAATGTATCGGACTCCATCCTCAACTGACGGGACGAGGTAGTATTTTCTGGGGGTTTCACCTTGTGTTGTGGTGAAGCTAAAAGCAGTTCGCCCCGTATTTTGATCCACCTCCATATTGAACTGGGTGTGCAGTTGTGGGTTTACACCCTAACGAAAAAATACAAGTGGATTATGAACAGCCCAACATGCTGAAGCAAAAAAGGATGCTGTAAGAAGTTGCTTTGTTATAATAAGCATATTAGTGATAGTGCAAGAACAAGGAACATGTAGACGGGTACCTATGCTAATTTTTGCAGGTTTAAATGGCCCTGATTATAAGCAATGTCAGAACGTCACATAGGCGAGGCCTTAAAAGCGAGGTCTCTATCAGAGGATGCATCATGTATACCTCTTCAGGTTCCTCTGGCAAGAATATAGGGAATCTGTCAGGTACTCCTTCGTCCTCACTGACAGTCAGACGCCATTTGACCTCTGGGAAAGACGGCGGGGTGACCCCCATAATCTCAACTAATAAGCCGCCTAAACCAGGAGTTCTGAACAGTTCTGCATTTGGATAAGACAGAAACCATGCATAGTATTACTATACCATAGTAGTTCCAATAGGTATATATGCACATGGTACCGTAAAGCCATTATGAGTAGCCCCCTGCACAAACTCTTCAACTTCTCTCTGCTTGATCACAGGAAGTTGAACAAGACACCAACTGCCTTGCTAGTTTGAGCATCAGAGGCTGTCTCTAACTCGCTAATAATGCACATCTCTGCACATCCACCCCCAATAGATAAATATGCAACCAATGAACGTTAGTATAATAGAGCTCGTGCTCAAAGTCAAGACTCGTGGCAAATAAAAGCCCTCTCTATAGGTAGTTAGTCAATACATTATTTTACCCAGCTAGCTAAATTTCTCTGACTGTAAATCCTTGTCTGCCCTATATATAAGTCAATGGGACGAATACATACCTGTAACATGAATACTGCCACCCCCTTCATGAAAGCCCCACTGGTTGTTGGCGCCGTTGTCGTCGTACGTGACCCGCAGCACTTCCTCGTCGAATTCGTTCGTCGTCACAACTAGAATCCGTTGTAGCGGATTACCAAAGCGAGTAGTGATGCCAGGGTCAGGAACGCCTGGAATGACGACTAGATCACCAGGAGTGCCGATCACACTCACAGGTCCTTCGGGATCCAGATTGGTGCGGGGATTAGTGCGACAAGTACACTGACAGGTGCACTGCCCAAGAGTCGTCTGATTGACTTGCGTGGGGGTTGTTGGACACTGCAGGAGAAAAACGCTATTGTTAGAGAACAGCTGACTATAATAGTCGCAACGGCATGTGAGGTAACGGGGTAGAAAGGCAAGGCAAAGCAAACAAGTCAACTACACCCATGATGATCACCTTATCAGGAGTGTTTCTGAAGAAACAGTAGTTGTCCATAATGAGTCCAGTAGAGCTGCTTCTTTGGGGATTGCGTTGTTGAGAATTTTCTTCGCTGAGTTGATCTTGCAGAGCGGTTCCTTGAGTTTGAGCCTGTCACGGAACGGTTTTTATACTAGGAGCCGCCGCATTTCCGTCCAGATTGGAGTCTAGTCGCTCGGGATTTTCCACGATCTCACGGTACTTGATCTCAGTATGTGTGCGCGGTTAACCTGAATTTTTATAAGGCTTCTCTGTTTCCTAAGCGATCGACACATATTCCTAGATCCTTGCGCCGTCGAGTGGGCGGCATGCTTCGCGTGGGCGCTACCGGAAAAGGCAAATTACAGGCCTTGTATCCGGCATTGACGACACAGCAGGAATGCGGATGTTTCAAAATTGGAACGCTTTTCAACACGGAAACCGTTACACATCTCAGAAAGGATATTATAGTGTGGGAGCAGTCTGTCAGGCTTGCTAATAATAGATATGAGGGGGACAATCTTGTCGTTTCTAAAGGTAATCGACTAGGTCACAAGATGGCTAACTTGGTGTGGCGGTGTGGGAAGAATGCCAGAGAGTAGACTGTAGTACACTATCCATGGTGCAGTGCTGAATGTAGAAGCTTAGACAGTGGTTTCAGTGCTTGTTTGGAAACACTCAACGTCATGGCTCTTACAGAGTTGCAACATAGTCTAAAATGCTTAGCCTTGTGCCAGATAGACATGCCAGCAAAGAAAAGACAAATTCTGTTAGTACATGAGCCATGTTTTATAACCGTGACTACAACTCCAATTCACTTATAATTATTATGCCCTTGTTTTGTCTGATGACTCAACAAATGTAAAAAAGCTGTGAGCCCTGAATTTCACTGTTACGATTTCCCCAGATTGTTTTGTGATAGGCGAAGGAGTGTGATCCACACAGTCTCATTTGGATTCGTGTGTTTTTTAAACTCAAAGGGCCGTGAAAGAGGCTCCGTCGCAAATATCAAAACTCTGGTGCCATGTAACATCACTCTGCATGAAAGAAGAGTCACATGTGATGGTGTATAAGGTTTACGTTAGTTATATACCTCTAATGTGGAACTCAAGCATCGGTTCTATATCATATGCTTCCTGTACTGTCTTCACGAACGGACAAATACAATATTCTGGCTGCTGGTCAGCTGTGAAAATTTGCACCTGATGATTACTGTTCCTCAGTATAATGTATTTATCTGCGTAAAGTGCAAAGATCAACCCAACCACCAAGCTGCATCAGTGAACGGGATGTTTCTAACGGAAGGAATACTGGTTTAGTTCACAGCAAAGGTCTACAAACCCACAGAGACTATAAATTCCAATGGCCAGAAAAAAGGGATGGTTTTTCATGCATTTACTGTCATAACGTGATCACGTGACCTGCGCCATCATCGTCATCATCAGTAGTTAACCCTCGGCGGCGCGCATGCGCAGCGAGGGTTACGGTAGTCGTTCTCCGTGTCTGTCTGTCTGTCTGTCTGTTACCACGTTTTCTGCCACCACGCGCAACAAACAGGCCAAAAGGCGACACCAACCCGGACCACACATTATTATGTTTGATAAAACGTGTATTGGCGTCATAGCCCCACTGTGGGACTCCACGCCGAGGGTTTAGCACTTCAGTGCCTTTCATTAGTTAGGTGGCGTGAGGGTCTACATGCGCCGAAATTTCGCCGAGGGTTTGCACTCAGTGCTTTCATGTTAGTGCGTGAGGGTTCTACGCATGCGCCGAAATTTCGCACGACTATTATAGCATTCCTTTTTGCGTCAACACCATTGTGGAGTAAACATGTCTCTGGCACTTGTTTTTCCAGCTCTCCTAATAATTGTCGCGAGGGCCGTCGGTGGCGAGAACTGTGGAAATGAAAATGCTCCCTACTATGTCTCACTGGAGTGCGCCATCCTTGGAGGGGAGAGCAGGATCAGGCGACAAGACGATCCACCTCCAAGTAGACACATCGATCAGGATAGCTCTAAAGATTGCCTGGTTTCCGTCGGACTGGAACTGCGCATAACGTGTCGCGCGCCTAGTGAAGATTGGGATAGTGCTGCGGCCAACGAGCTGGTACTGTTTAGAGACGGGCAGAACCTCAGCAGCCACACGGTGTCTTGGTCCTTCGCTACGTCCCTCGAGAGTGGTTTGTACGACTGCAGATGGAAAAGCAATGGAACTTCCTCTGCTAACCGCTCCGTCCTGGTAGGAAGTAAGTAGAAGAAACAAGTTCTGAGTATAGTATTAGATACCATGTCTGTCAATAATTCAGAGACAGTGTACGTCATACCTGGTGCCGACTCCGACAATGAAGGCGACTTGTTTGCCCAGGATTGCCGACCAATAGTCGGTGACTTTAGTTGCAGCGTGGCCAAGAGCTTAGTGAAGACTTGGAGGGTTCAAGAGGATAAGAGCACTGCTCACGACATCTCATTCAATGTACTGGGAGCTCGCCCTGTGTCTCTCAGTCTGGATATCCAATGGGTCAATCACTATCCTGTCGACATTGACCCATCCCTCAGCAGTGACTCAGCCTTTAACAATACCATTTCACATGTAAGACATTTCCACTTCTCCACATGTTGAGGGCTCTCTCTCTTCACCCTCCTATCCCCTCCCCCATCTCTCTCCTATATACTCATTCAGACTGCTCACGTTGACTTCTATAACCTGGTCTTAGTAGGAGAGTCTTCAAGTCCTGTAACTGCAGAAGCTTACCTGGTTTTATCTGGAAACACTTCAGATCGCACCTCCACCCTATGTGTGTCAATCAATTTTTATGGAGGTATATACATAGCTAACATTCTATTACTCTATTGTTAGTTTCTGACTGCAGTTCCTGCCCTGTTGCCTAATGACAGTCTTCCAGCAGATGTGTCAGTGGTTGAAGGCCATCAGGCTGACTTCCACTGCAGCGCCAAAACAACTAAAGACAAAACGTTCACTGTTGCCTTTCTAGTCAAAGTTCCACCCTACAGCCTTACCGAATGTACAAATTACACCTTTTCTACAAACGCATCTTTGCTGCCACTATCTCTGAGTGGAAATGGAAGTTGCTCTGGTCTTGATATCATCCCGACTTTTCTGTATGGTACACATTACTTGAGAGCTACATGGCCCAGTGTCAACTTTTCCATGTCTGGAGCAGAGGTGATCTGTGCTCAGGCCTCTAGTGGTGTCACTCAGTGGGCCAGAACAGCCACACTCACTGTCTTACCAGCCTCTATTGTGCCACCATACTCTCCTACTCATCCAGACCTCAGTGTTTTGGCTGTACTTACTCTCCCCCTCATAGTATTAGTGGTGGTGTTAGCCATCCTACTCTGGTGGAAATGGAGACGGTTTTCAATGACAAAGTTCGGTTATCAGTTACAACGCGAACAAAGTAAGCATGTCTCAACTTTAGTATATCCGAGTCACTTATCTTTTCCAGCTCCTCAAGCCGTTCCTTCCAGTACCTGCAGTACTCCAACTACTGCCACGCCACAGTTTCCCCTGCTAGCCTCACATCCCTATGTGACCCAGCACAAGCTCCTGCACGCAGCCAATGAGGATTCTGAGAGTTCAAATTGTGAAGTGGAGGTAGATGCATAATATCCCCCCATGTCCCTGTTGCTAAGGCAGCTGTTTCAATCCCTGTGCAGGATATTGCGATGATTAATTTCAGTAACCGTCACACTAGCAGCAGTGCTACTGAGCTCTTCTACCCATCCTCGTATGAAGTGTGTGTCTATGTGAGCTACTCTAATTCCCAGGCAGACTGGGTGCAGGGAACACTGCTCCCTCTGCTTCACTCCTACCAACCAATCAGAGTCACCGACCACGAAGCTCACATGATCCCAGGGGGTGTGGTCTCTGAGGAGAGACTCCGCCTACTGCAGTCGGCTGATAAAGTGGTGGCCGTCATAGCCCTAGACTACCAGCTGACTGAGTGGTGCAACTATGAGCTCCAGCACGTGCTACAGCAGTCGTCAACAGGAGGGGCAGGACTACTTATCCCCATTCTGTGTGGTGGGTGCAGAGAACTCCCGTCCACCATCTCAACCCTCCATCCCCTCTCTCTGGAGGACCCCAACTGGACACACAAACTCAGGATTGCACTCCGCAGACAACACCCACACTCTCTATTGTGATTATTATGTATGGATGATTATTGGGTGCAGTTAGTTACACCATCACTCCGTCCAAAGTTTTATTATTGCATTGGTGTATGGTATAACTACTACTTATATCACCCACAAGAGCTGCATTCGTTGTACGTGTCAACTACAAGGTGAGGTAGCAAGGCAAAGGCAAAGCAAACAACTAAAATTGTCCGGTAAAAAAAGTGAAAAGACGAATTGTGCGAACGCTGACAAGATAATAATAATTGGTGGCTGCAGTTATAATTTGTCGTTGGAAGAGGTCAGCATATTCTTTGGTATATTGTAGCTACACTGTTTTTGTCTTGTAATGTACTCTTGCTATATAGTTGACGTATTATAGCTAAGTAAATGGTTGATATACAATGTATACTTAGTCTCATGGTCTCAGTGGATTTGATAGTGGGTAAGGCCGGCAAAAGTTAACATAGCAATGGTCAGAATAGCATACTGTGAAAATATTTTGGTCAGTGGGAGTGAGCCTACTGCAATTAGTGTAGCTATGTGTGGTGTCATAGTTCACATGCTCGCACATCACAGTAGCATACCTACAAACCTGCAGATAAACCTTTGCTTGAAATTGCTGTGTGTCCATTCAAAATATATGGGCATGATTTGGCGATTTTCTGGTGGGATAGGCAGTATTTTTTGCTTGATTATCAAGCAAAAGCTGGATGGTTGGTAGGTATGCAGTAGGATGCACATATGTCATGCATTGTGTAAGGAACTATAATGTATTTCTCTGACACTATTTCACTCCCACTTGTCTGCCTTGGTAGTGTATTAGTAGGGCAGACTATTGTGTGCATAGTCTAAATTCGATATTATTATTATTATCAAAGTTTGTCTTCATAAGCACTTCAGAGTAATAGCACACAATAGTTACAAATCAGTATCTCTGTTTCCATGGTTTTTGATTACTTTACGAGAAGTTTTGGGAAAATATTGCCAGATTTTTTCGTGTGTCTTCTATTTCTATTTTACCGCTCTTCGGAGTAAAATAGTAGGTTTTTGGCTCCTGAGTCTCCAAACTGAGGGAAAATGAGGTTTGAGAGCCACAGGAATAGAATACTTGATGGTAGATGGTGTTTCCTGAAGAAGTTTTGCTCTGCATAAAAAGAGCAACTTTGTTTGAAGCACATAATCATACCACTATACTGCAGAGGGAGCACTGATCTTTAGGTTTCACATGATTTCAGGGTGGTTGATCGTTTCCGGACCTTACTCGGTGTGCATGCGCAGAGAGGGCTGGTGTTTCAAAACAAAGCAAAGGCAGTGCAGTTGGTTTTTCGATAATCAAAGCAAAGGCAGTACTACGACACAAATGTTTGCACACAATGTCGAAAGTTACAGTAGGCCAAGTTCCACTGGCTACACAGCCAGTGTGAGACACTATATAGACTATGACCAAACTGCCAACCCTCTCTCATGTGAGGGATTGGCTTGCTAAGTTTGCCCGTGAAATTTGTTATAATAAAACTGACGTGATAATATTATGCTCCTTACCTCACAGAATTTAGGAGTGTCGACTGTATTATTTTTTTCTTTGACAGTCAAATATTTATTTCCCAGCTTTATCTGTACTTGGTAATGTGTTGGAGTTAAAACGGTGAAATATCCATCTACATGAAAATGAAACCCTTGGTGACCTTATCCAATATTTTCAGTACTGAAAACTATAGCCTAGTGTCTACCTTTTCGCGTTGGAACGAAGTCGATCTACCGCTCGCAGCGCCCCCTCGTAGTTGTGGGCGTTGCCTCCGCATCATAAAATTTACGCACGCGATATCTCGAAATAACGCGCACGGAAGGGTTCGAGCGTGTATAGCAGCTACGAAGGTGCGGTTTTCTTCGTTGTATGCAGCGTGCGTTGCGTTTTCGAACGATACGCGTAACGCAATATTGAAGTTTTGCGCCAAGTGGTACCTTTTCCCAGAGCGGGTCACATATACAGTAGAAGGTATATACCTACAATGGTTGTATAATTATACATCATGACAAACTTTACAGGATTGATAATAAAATATGCTGAATGCTCCTTATCAAAACTAGCCTCTCATGTGCATACATCAACCCATACAATGTGCGCCATTAATAATGTGCAATAGTGTAACAACTAACCTCTACTACTTCTGCTTTGGTAACGCCAGTAACTGCCTGATTCATATGTATATGACAGAGTACCATCAGAACCAGGAGTATCCACTTGAATATAACAATCACCCGCCTGAATTTCTTCAACAGACTGGAATGAAAATAAAATGTCTCACTGTTGAATGTATGTTCATTTAGTGATTTTCTCTGAAACAGCTTTGTTAAATACAATAGACACTGGTATTATTATTATTAGAGATAAAATTAAGATCAATAAACAACATAATTTTCTGTGCAAAGCAACTATTATCAAAGTGTCACTACATACGGGAGCACTAAGAGCTACAACAGCTGTTTCTCAGAGCTTATCAGCTAGTTAGCTTTCATACTTTAAAACAACCAAGGATTTGCTCTTTAGTAATTTTATTATGTACTTACCGTCATCATTTCCATAAAGTCTCCTTCCTCACACTCCACAACAAAAGTTAGGTTGCTTAGATTGATTTCAGATACTTTGCTGTGGTTGCAAGGTATTGGTCGTCGTGCTGGCACAGAGAATATCCGGAAACGCTGATTAACCAAACCAGCATAAAACACATACTCATAGAGCATCTACAGGATAAAAGAAACAAAGTTAACTCTATCACACTCTTATGGTGAAAATGATAAAAATTATTATGTGCCTATCATGAAGACTGCATGGAACCTAACTGCAGTTGCAACAAAAATGTTTGGATCATAATAATATATGACTTTTTCATAAGGGTTAATGGATGCTACGATGTAGCTTATACCATTGCGTACCTTGGTTGAACAGGACATATCAGAATTGTATGTGAGTTTTTCTCCATTGGGTAGCTCAAACACAATAGGCGTTCCTCCATCTGTATCCACACTTTCAAACTTGGGTTTAAGACTCTCCCGTAACTGTTGTAGAGCCTGCAAATTCAAGAGTAACCCATCAGCTGACAAAATAATGATATGTGAAAATGATGATAGCTAACAGGTTTGTCCAATGATATCTACGTGATTGCAGCAAATCACACATTTGCTAGATTTGATCACCAATCATCCAATGCCTGATAGCTATAACCGTCGAATGTCCTCCTAAAAGGTAAAATGGGGGTGTGACAGGCTTGCATATCCAAACTTACAACTATTAACTATGTATGCAAAATCAAGCACGGGAAGCAGTTTGTTAATCTAGTATAATTATATTTGTCTTACTTCAGGTGAGGAAGCTGGCATCTGCTGAGCTTCTGTGCCATGTGAAGTTGGTACGTCTTGATCCATCTCTACACCCTGTTCCTGCAGTATAATTAGGTGAACTTTTCATTAGCTACCATTTCTTAGTGGGCAAACCTTAGGAGCAGGGGATGCCTTTGAGCAACAAGAGCCCATGATTGTAATGTCTACGGCTGTCGATTTATCTGGGGTATGAGGTCCATATTATGTCAAACACCTTGCAGTTAGTATACAGTCCGGCCAAACGTCAAAGGGCATGAAAATCCACGAGTTGAGTTCACGCAGCTATAATGCCATTGGGCATGCACTGTTGTGAGCTGAGTGTGGGTAGCTTTCAATATACTGCAAGAACTAGTGTGGGCAGTAGCTAAGTACTAAACGCCCCTCGAGCTGGCATGCGTAGCTCTGCGTAGGCATACGACCAACCGCCAGCTGCAGATTAGCTCATGCTGATAGATAAATAAATTATTCTTACAAGAGAGCAGGGACGAGCTGTTGTCAAGGAAAGTAGCCAAACTCCGCGATATGACTTATGACAAGTGTGTAGTCCCATGAAGTAGAGGGGGCGAGACACACCTAATCGTATTCATTGATCGCTTGATGTGATTGTGCGTCGTCTCGGCATGCAGCACGGATATAGCGAGTCATACCGGCCACTTGTCCACTCTGGCTGATTCTCTACCTCCGTTTTTCATTTATGTGTGCAATTTTCTTGGTGTGAGCATGTGGACAATCACTTCTATGAAATGAAGGTGGATGTAGTGATGTGAAAAGATAATAATAGCAGTAAGTGTTCCTGCATGAGACGGAACAGAACTCCTGCAAAAGTGCTTAATTGGCCCCTTGGCTTCCTTTATACTAGATGAAACTTGATGTCTGCAATGTTTGTTCTGCCTTTGCCTTTCTAGCTAGCTACCTCATGATTTACTGTGTGTCATGGTTACGCACGGACAGTAAACTTAAGACGGTAATCGTGTTCTGTTTTGTAGTAACGAAGCAGTTTGCAACATATTATTAGGAAAGCTAACCCTTTTTGAGCAAAACATTGGCTTACTTGGACTTTTTGGCCATTTGTGCAAGCTGGGTTAGGGTAGCTACTAGGTATGCAGAGCACTAGGTGATCAAAAGTGCAAAGGAGTAACCTGACTCCAAGTGCTCAGGCAAGCATGCATGTCCCAATTTGTCACAGATAATTGACTGGCAGACAGTTCGCCTCTACCCTTAATGTATAGTCGCTTGAACATGTGAAACAAGACGCGGAGGATATTCCTTACTACACTTCTTAACATACAGATGTAGCTAACAAACAGAAACGTCAAAAACTAATGGTAACATTAAAGTATCGCTATGTTGAGAAGAACACGCCTACAGTTTTCAACCCTATCTGGGTGTTTTGTTTAGGCTAAAAGATTAAAAACATATTGCGGTTGGACTGTTTCCATTACTTCAATCTGGTTAGGTCCAGGAACAAAGTAGTACTTGAAGTTCTTCACTGGATCACCACTACTTATAGTGAAACCAAAGGCAGTCCTTCCATTCTCATCCCTACGCTCGAACTTAGTGAGTGTAACTGAAGATCCCTTGAGTGAAAAACATAAACTATGTATGAATGCAAAAACAATTTGATACTAACCTTTATGCTTGCAGTGGAAGAACCAGAGGGTGCACTAGATGTGAAAGTGGGGACAGCGTCTGGAACTCCCTCACCATTGATGTTAAGTGACAGATATCTTCCACTGTCCTTGGCTTTTATGGCAGTCCCATTTCGATCAGATTCAATGTGGAAGATATCTTTAGTACAAAAACGAAGCCCATAAAATTACTATTGCCGGATGTATTATTATGACTCACACCTGCTGATGTGCATGGTGTTCCACCGAAAACCCAACGATTGTTACTTTCGGCAGCATTATAGGTTTCTTGCAAAGGACCCTCAGTTGATACTAGAATCTTTTTGGTTTGTGTGCCATTCTCCAGGGGTGTCCATAGTATGTCATCTCTTCCGTTTAATTCTGTCTCTTCCTCACATAAGAGGTCCTGCAAATACATGCTTACACATATCTAGCTTTTTCAACACTTAACCATCCACCCAACCAGTGTGGTTAAAGCCTCTAGGGGGTCACAGTTAATGCTAGTATTGCTCACGTTCCTAAGCTTCGACACTGTTCACGGAAGCTACTAAGTCACGGAACAGTGTAACTCTCTACCATCTTATTCCAGTGTGCCAAAGGCTTGCCAAACTTGGCCAAAGCCATTTGCACATTTTCTGGGTCCAGCGTGATTGAAACTCCGAAGATAAGGACAGTATAGTTATCTTGATGTGACATAGCACCATTTTTGGTGGTTTCATCGGGGCAGGAGAGACAATTAAACCAGAAATCAGTCAGTTATGAACAAAACTGCTTACAGGGCTACTATAACTCCCCCAAATATTATGTATTCGAGGTCTCACAGTATACATTGTGAGTAAGGCGGATGCCAGAAGCTATATAAAATAGTTCACCCCATGTGGTAGCTACACTTGATATCTTGCCTAAAATCTAAGCTATCAGAGCTGAAGCATGTACTTAAGTTGACAGAGCAAATGGGGTGTGTAGCTCCAAGCAACATTGTAAACACTTCTAACACCTTCTGAACTAACAACCTCTCTTGGGCTATAATCTAGACTCTCCCTGGGAAGCCAGGAAAACTAACTAAACCGACTATAATAAAAAAAGCATCAATTCCCAGACATTTTCAGTGTTTTCTCTTCGCCGGGACTGGGACAGCGCTAGTTGTAAATGATTTCGGAGCTTTTCCGCTATTCCGGTAAGGTTGGCAACCATGTATCAGTGCAGATCTAGAGTGACTCGGTATGACATTGTCAAAAGAAGTCTAGAAAGACCAAGCTACAGCCTTCTGTGATTAGCTGTGGATGATGTGAGCATGCTAGTAAGCAAGGAAGACCTTACGCTGTACCTTTGTTTTAGCTCAACTGGATGCTTAGCATGTTAGGTCCTTTTCCCAAAGAAACGTTAGTGGGTGGTTTTTGTGCACTCGTCTTGTGAAAAGACACACACGTTCCTTTTGTGCTTCACACTTCAGTGGTTTTTCATTATGAAATTGTGTTACCTGTAAATATTCCAAAATGTCTCCTTCCTCATACTCCACAACGAAAGTAAATAGACTTAAATTTATTTCAGATAGTTTGCTATGGTTGCAAGGTATTGGTCGTCGTGCAGGACCAGAAAAGATCCGGAATCGCTGATTAACCAAACCAGCATAAAACACATACTCATAGAGCATCTACAGGATAAAAATGAACAAAGTTGACTCTATCACATGGTTATGGTGACACTAAACTGTGTGTGCATAACGAAATAGAAGTTGACTACATAATGCAAAAAAAACGTTAGCCTTTTTGTATGGGGGATCAAATGAGATTATGAACTGTGCCACCCTCTTGTAGAAGGTCAATGGGTGCTATGATGTAGCTTATATTATACTGCATATAATACCTTGGTTGAACAGGACATATCGGAATTGTATGTGAGCTTTTCCCCATTTGGTAGCTCAAACACAATAGGCGTTCCTCCATCTGTATCCTCACTTTCAAACTTGTGTTTAAGACTCTCCCGTAACTCTTGTAGAGCCTGCAAAATCACGAGTAATGCAAAACTATATAATTCACCCATGGTAGCTATACAGCAGACAAAATAATGATCAATGTGAAAGCTATGATTTACGACGTAACAGGTTGTGAATCCAATAACTTTGGAAAATATCAAATTCGCTAGATTTTATCACCAATCATCCTTACAATGCTCGTGCTATACCTCTAAAATGCCTGGTAGCTATAACTGTTGAATGTCCTCCTTAAAGGTAAAATGTGAATGTGTGACAGGCTTGCATACTTAAATCCAAACTTACAATATGAACTATAATTATGTATGCAAAATCAAGCATGGGAAGCAGTTTGTTAATCTAGCTACCTAGGAAGCATTTGTCTTACTTCGGGTGAGGAAGCTGGCATCTGCTGAGCTTCTGTGCCATGTGAAGTTGGTACGTCTTGATCCGTCTGTTCCTGCAGTATAATTAGGTGAACTCTTTATTGGTACCATTAGCTACCATTTCTTAGTGGGCAAACCTTAGGAGCAGGGGATGCCTTTGAGCAACAAGAGCCCATGGTTGTAATGTCCAGGCTGTCGATTTATCTGGGTGTATGAGGTCCATATTATGTCAAACGCCTTGCAGTTAGTATATTATAGTCCGGCCAAACGTCAAAGGGCATGAAAAGCCACGAGTTGAGTTCACGCAGCTATAATGCCGTAAGAACTAGAGTGGGCACCGGCAGTAGCTACGTACGTAAGTAAGTACTATATTATAAACGCCCCTCGAGCTGGCGCGTAGCTCGGCGTATGCCTACGACCAACCCCCCCAGCTGCAGATTAGCTCATGCTACATGCCTGATAGATAAAAAAAACTCAATTCTTACAAGAGAGCAGGGACGAGGTGCTGTCAAGGAAAGTAGCCAAACTTCGCGATATGACTTATGACACACCTAATCGTATTCATTGATCGCTTGATGTGTCGTTTCGGCATGCAGCCCGGATATAGCTAAGAGTTAACACTGCGCGCCGCGTAGAATTTCTCCGCGTACGCGGAATTACGCATGCGCGGAATATCACACCTTTTCGGCCGTCTGGGAGTCGCCCTTTGGCGTGGAAACGCCACACTATGGCTCCGTCGGTCCCCGCCTCTATCCCCTTCAACCGATGGCATCATTTGACTTGTCGATTCATTTATATTTTTATTTATTTATTTTTACTCCAATTTTAGCTTGCATCACTCATCACTATGTTTAGCCACAAAAAAAATATTGCCACGCTCATCTGCGTAATACATAATTCCACGCCACTAAAGTGGCGCGTGGCGTTGCTGAGCCATTACGCGCGGCACCCATAGTGTTAAGAGTCGTGCCGGCCACTGGTCCACTCTGGCTGATTCTCTACCTCCGTTTTTCATTTTATGTGTGCAACTTTCTTGGTGTGAGCATGTGGACCAAACTATAAAAATAGCTACAATAATTCGAAAATCACTTCTATGAAATGAAGGTGGATGGAGTCGGTGGATGGAGTCGGTAGACTCTCTATATAATAGGGATGACACGGGTGAAATCTCACGTGATCCGCGTACAAAACGACTAAAAACTCGGTGAGAATCACTCCCTAGGCCTTCAAAACATACTAGCAATAGTCTACGGGCCATATCTACCTATACATGTTCCCCAAGACCTCATACGCACCTTCAGTCGTCCACACGAGAATTCGCTCATACGCGATTTCACGATTTTCGTGTCATCATCTTTAAACCCGCTATCTCCTTACCAGTACCAGTTGAAGCACTGATTTTTTCACTGAAGGTCTCTAATTTCGCTGGAGGTCGACCTGAACTACGCCATTTGCTGCTTACTCAGCATCAGTCATCCGCGCGCATGCGCCAGGCAGGGGCGTTGTCCAATGCGCGTGCGCTAGCGAGCGTATTACCAGGCGAGCGAGTTGGCAGACCTGCAGAGGAACTCTCAGACTCCAGTACCTTCCGGTAAGTCAGTGTACACATTTCCAACTGGCTATCTTGCTGTTGATTTGCACGAAGAGCAACCTGCGCGGTGTTACGCGTGCCTTGCGGGGCACTCAGTCAAATGAGCCTTCATTGTTTGTAAGCCTGCCAATGAAACCACAACCATGTGAAATAATCTAATACATGAGGTATTTAGCCCCTGCTTCAGGCACTAGCTAACAGCCCCATTAGGTCAATTTGTCTATGGTATATAGCCTATCTACAACATACCCATGAACATCAGAGTGACTGTAACAATAAATGCAGTGTTGTCATAAGCTGGTTAAAAATAGTGGAAACAAGTGGAAAAATCATTTCTTCAAAATGAAAGGGGGATATAGGGATGGCTTGAAGCACCAAAAAGGCAGAAACAAGGGGTCATTACACAGCAAAGTTGCACAAAGCTACATGATAGCTACCATCCCTATATCTTTGTTGTTATATTATTGTTGTTAACTTTGCTTAAAACAAAGATATAGGGATGGTGTCATGTAGCTTTGTGCAACTTTGCTGTGTAAAATGACCCCTTGCTTCTTCCTTTTTGGTGCTTCAAGCCATCCCTTTCATTTCGAAGAAATGATTTTTCACTTGTAGTGATGTGAAAATATAATAATAGCAGTAAGTGTTCCTGCATGAGACGGAAGAGAACTCCTGCAAAATTGCTTAATTGGCCCCTTGGCTTCCTTTATACAGATTCCACTGTGATGTCTGCAATGTTTGTTGTGCCTTTGCCTTTCTAGCTACCTCATGATTTACAAAATAAAATCATCAATAATTAAGTGTGTCATGGTTACGCACGGACAGTAAACTTAAGACGGTAATCGTGTTCTGTTTTGTAGTAACGAAGCAGTTTGCAACATAATTATTAGGAAAGCTTGCCCTTTTTGAGCAAAACATTGGCTTACTTGAACTTTTTCGCCATTCAGTGCAAGCTGGGTTAGGGTAGCTACTATATACGTATGCAGAGCACAATGGTGCAAAGGAGTAACCTGACTCCAAGTGCTCAGGCAAGCATGCATGTTCCAATCTGTCACAGATAATTTACTGGCAGACAGTTCGCCTCTATGTATAGTCTACCTTTAATGTATAGTCGCTTCTTAAGAACATGTGAAACGAGACGCGGAGGATATTCCTTACTACACTTCTTAACATACAGATGTAGCTAACAAACAGAAACGTCAAAAACTAATGGTAACATTAAAGTATCGCTATGTTGAGAAGAACACGCCTACAGTTTTCAACCCTATCTGGGTGTTTTGTTTAGGCTAAAAGATTAAAAACATATTGCGGTTGGGATGTTTCCATTACTTCAATCTGGTTAGGTCCAGGAACAAAGTAGTACTTGAAGTTCCTCACTGGATCACCACTACTTATAGTGAAACCAAAGGCAGTCCTTCCATTCTCATCCCTACGCTCAAACTTAGTGAGTGTAACTGAAGATCCCTTGAGTGAAAAACATAAACTATGTATGAATGCAAAAACAATTTGATACTAACCTTTATGCTTGCAGTGGAAGAACCAGAGGGTGCACTAGATGTGAAAGTGGGGACAGTGTCTGGAACTCCCACACCATCAATGTGAAGTGACAGATATCTTCCACTGTCCTCGGCTTTTATGGCAGTCCCATTTCGATCAGATTCAATGTGGAAGATATCTTTAGTACAAAAACGAAGCCCATAAAATTACTATTGCCGGATGTATTATTATGACTCACACCTGCTGATGTGCATGGTGTTCCACCGAAAACCCAACGATTGTTACTTTCGGCAGCATTATAGGTTTCTTGCAAAGGACCCTCAGTTGATACTAGAATCTTTTCGGTTTGTGTGCCCTTCTCCAGGGTTGTCCATGGTATGTCATCTCTTCCGTTTAATTCTGTCTCTTCCTCACATAAGAGGTCCTGCAAATACATGCTTACACATATCTAGCTTTTTCAACACTTAACCATCCACCCAACCAGTGTGGTTAAAGCCTGAGGCAGCTCAGCTGGCTGGGCTGAATCACTCCTACAGAGCAGGGCAAGGCAGAGCACTCTGTCTTAGCTGGACACTTGCACTGCATATACTTATATACATACTGTAATGTTTTACATACACGTAAAACACCTGAAATTTTGCTCAATTGTGTCTCTTGCCAAAACTCTGATTGCTACGTTCATAATCTATGGCTTTACATACATACCTCTACTTTATGTACAAGTAGAACATGCAATATTGAAACACTTGTACTATAGCTGTGTTGTTGCGAAACTACAAGTACCCAGAAAAGAAAGCTGTTTATTGTGTAGGTTCATGTGTATGGGGAGCGTTGGTTGCAAACTGAAAGTTTTTGCCTGCTCTCACAGGGTCACAGTTAATGCTAGTATTGCTCACGTTCCTAAGCTTCGACACTGTTCACGGAAGCTACTAAGTCACGGAACAGTGTAACTCTCTACCATCTTATTCCAGTGTGCCAAAGGCTTGCCAAACTTGGCCAAAGCCATTTGCACATTTTCTGGGTCCAGCGTGATTGAAACTCCGAAGATAAGGACAGTATAGTTATCTTGATGTGACATAGCACCATTTTTGGTGGTTTCATCGGGGGGGCAGGGAGACAATTAAACCAGAAATCAGTCAGTTATGAACAAAACTGCTTACAGGGCTACTATAACTCCCCCAAATATTATGTATTCGAGGTCTCACAGTATACATTGTGAGTAAGGCTGGATGCCAGAAGCTATATAAAATAGTTCACCCCATGTGGTAGCTACACTTGATATCTTGCCTAAAATCTAAGCTATCAGAGCTGAAGCATGTACTTAAGTTGACAGAGCAAATGGGGTGTGTAGCTCCAAGCAACATTGTAAACACTTCTAACACCTTCTGAACTAACAACCTCTCTTGGGCTATAATCTAGACTCTCCCTGGGAAGCCAGGAAAACTAACTAAACCGACTATAATAAAAAAAGCATCAATTCCCAGACATTTTCAGTGTTTTCTCTTCGCCGGGACTGGGACAGCGCTAGTTGTAAATGATTTCGGAGCTTTTCCGCTATTCCGGTAAGGTTGGCAACCATGTATCAGTGCAGATCTAGAGTGACTCGGTATGACATTGTCAAAAGAAGTCTAGAAAGACCAAGCTACAGCCTTCTGTGATTAGCTGTGGATGATGTGAGCATGCTAGTAAGCAAGGAAGACCTTACGCTGTACCTTTGTTTTAGCTCAACTGGATGCTTAGCATGTTAGGTCCTTTTCCCAAAGAAACGTTAGTGGGTGGTTTTTGTGGTTGTCCATGGTATGTCATCTCTTCCGTTTAATTCTGTCTCTTCCTCACATAAGAGGTCCTGCAAATACATGCTTACACATGTCTAGCTTTTTCAACACTTAACCATCCACCCAACCAGTGTAGAGTCTCAGGGGGTCACAGTTAATGCTAGTATTGCTCACGTTCCTAAGCTTCAACACTGTTCATGGAAGCTACTATGTCACGGAACAGTGTAACTCTCTACCAGTGTGCCAAAGGGTCCAGCGTGATTGAAACTCCGAAGATAAGGACAGTATAGTTATCTTGATGTGACATAGCACCATTTTTGGTGGTTTCACCAGGGGGGGGCAGGGAGACAATTAAACCAGAAATCAGTCAGCTATGAAGAAAACTGCTTACAGGGCTATAACTCCCCCAAATATTCTGTATCATGTATTCATTTTCATTGTGGGTAAGGCTGGATGCCATACATAGTTCACCCCATGTGCTACACTTATTGACTGAACTCTTCCGTTTCTTTTAGTTTGGCTCTCCCTACCATCCAAGCTCTGTGTTTCAACTGAACTGCTGTCAAAAAAGTTGCTCGACTGTGCATAGCCATCTAGTGCTAGCCCATCTGAAAATCTGCAGATTGATTCATCTGTAGGCCCACATTATTGTACAAGCCTGTGACCCTGTTTCCTGGCTTAAAAAATACTTAGTACTCCAGCTATAGCTAACTCCCTAGTATACTCCTGTACTCTACACTTTCCCGGTAGAATGCTCATGAACTCTGTAGTAGCTATAGCTATTAGCTACACAAACGACGTTGTATGGGTCGCGCCTACTTGACCCCAAAGCCCATGACCGGTAGTCGGAGCTTTTCTATTGTGATGTTAAATATTCGTACTACATCCCACTGGATGAGATAGAGAAGTCTCTCTCAACACACTTTCGAACTTACTATATAGTCAAACTCACGATTGGATAATGCAGTATATATCACCAAGGATTCTTCCACTTACCACTTTATTCCAGGAGCAACAGCTCATACTGCTCGTGTCACTGACGGGTGTGTACTTCCCTGAGCAGCTGTAGATAAGCTTAGATGCTGCCGAACCAAATCTGCAGTCGGGCGTATTTCTTGGCCGCAAAACGTGATGGTACAGTACCTACCTTCTGCCTAGTTCCTCCACGCGCGCATGCTCCGTGCGTTTATTACGTACGGGCGCGCGCGCCTGGACGATTTTATCACGTGATTCGTGCCGGTACGCGGTATGACGCCCTCGGCGGCCTTTTCGTAGACGGAGTTCGACTCAGACAGTGACACAAACAGCTGCTGGAAGGGCGCTCCGCGAGCTTCTAGTCCTCTCTTTCGTTCTGAACTTGCAAAAAACAGATTTTCCTTTCCGCCGCCTTTTGAACTATATCCGCGGACTAGCATACGCTTTGCGGGAATAACGCCCTCGGCGGCCTTTTCGTAGACGGAGTTCGACTTAGACGGTGACACAAACCGCTGCTGGAAGGGCGCTCCGCGAGCTTCTCGTCCTCTCTTCCGTTCTGAGCTGAATGCCGGTCGCCGCCTTTTGAATCGCCCACGCATACAATAATGTACGGAAGCACGTGCTATGCGCGTGATAATGGTACTCGGAACTCAACGTGGTGGTCTGGATAGATCGTACAGCTGCGCCTCGTGCTCTGATATGACTATCTCGACCACGCCCCTCGTATATACACGCACACAAAGCTGTTGTTTTTCGAAAGCTGTCACGTATATAGAAGTGGCGCGCGTAGCCACGCCCTAGCCCTCTCGATCACATACGCGCGTAGCTAATTAAGTCACGGTACGCATCACGTGATAATCATCAAAAAACTCCCACGCGTAATAATAGCCTGCGCCGCTTTTTCTTTTCCTCCGCACTGGGCATGGGAGAGTAAGATACAAGGGAATTGCGGCCGAAGTGCAGGCGTGATTACTTAGCTGCGCGTTCGGCTTCGCGCGCACCGTTGCGTCAACAGAGCACTGTGAACCAAGTGTACGTATATAACACAGCTTGCGGTCAGGTCGACTTTTATCCATGGAGAGCCATGATTCAAAGTACAGTATAGTTCATCGAGAACAGAATTGCTGACTGTGTATATACGTGCGTCTCGGGTGAATGGTTCACACACATTCTTTCGCTATTTATGGTAAAAACTATTGTTTTTCCAAGAGGAAACGGACTATGACTTTCGCCGCGTTTCTCCTAGCTCTACTGATCGTCCAAGAGGCCCGTGCTAGGGGTGAAGACTGTGATAACGGACTCGCACCAGACTATACCAGGGTAGTTTGTGACATTATCGGAGATGAGAGTGGGTGTTCGAGCGTGGAGTACTTACAACCTGATAGATCTTGCATCAACCGGAACAGCTCCAGCGACTGCCTGGTCTCGGCGGGACTGGAACTCTACGTGACCTGCTGTAATGACGATTTGGTATTGTTTAGAAATGGACAGAACCTCAGCAGCCACACGGTATCTTGGACATTCGCTACATCTTTCGAGAGCGGTTTGTACGAGTGCAGATGGAGAGGCAACGGAACTTCATTCGCCAACCGCTCCGTCGTTGTAGACGGTAAGAAAAACCTTCCCGGCACAAGCATTAATTTTAGTTACATGCACCATTGATCCCTCTTTATGGCTAGTTGCATGGATTATGATTTTGATTCAGGGACGGTGTACGTGATACCTGGTGACCTGATTTTCAACCAGGACTGCGAGCGAAGAATAGCTGGTGACTTCAACTGCAGTGTGGCTCGGAGTTACAAGTATTATGGCGTAAAAGACGGATACACTCTTCACGATATTCAGTTCAATGTGCTGGGAGCTCGACCCATATCTCTCAGTCTGGAGATGATATGGGTGGACCACTACCCTGTGGAGCTTGACCTCTCCCTCAGCAATGACACTGCACTCAATAACACCATCTCTCATGTGAGAAATTCCAGTCATAGTATATATATACCTGCTGTGTAGGAGTTGTAAACTCACATGTAGCTATAGTAATACACACATTCTTTCTCCCTTTCCTTCTCAGACTGCAACGGTGGAGTCTCATAACCTAGTATTTGTGGGGCGTGCGTCGACACGAGCTTATGTGGTTGTCACAGGAACCACTTCAAATCGCTCTTCTTCCATGTGTGTCTCCATTACGTTTAGTGGAGGTATAGCTATGCAGTTCTAGACAGAGCGCATAATGACGTCTTCTTTTCAACGTATTATTACAGAGGTCATCCTACTCCCAAATGAAAGTCTTCCAGCTCATCTCACTGTTGTTGAGGGCCAGAGAGCTGACTTTCACTGCGATGCCCACACAACACAACTAACAGTACCTGCCTTCACTGTGTCTTTCCTGGTAAAGCTACCCTCTTCAAACATCGCACAGTGTTCAAACCACACCTTCTCTCGATCTCAAGCTTTGATAATGAACTCTGCTGTGAAGGACAGAAGCTGCTCGGGTCTGGTTTTCACGGAGTCGTACTCGGGTGACTCCCATTTGCAAGACCGTACCAACCACCTGACTGCCAGCTGGCCCAGTGTCAACCTCTCCATGTCTGGAGCAGAGGTGGTCTGTGCTCAGGCCTCTAGTGGTATCACTCAGTGGGCCAGAACAGCAACACTCACTGTCCTACCTGCCTCGTCCACCTCAGCTATTATGCTCCCTGTCTCTCCAACTGTTGCAATGCCTTTGATCCACCTGGCATCTCCAGACTCAGTTCATTGGCAGCCCTCTCTGTCCTGCTTGTTGGGGGAGTTATTCTATTAGTCATCCTACTCTGGTGGAGATACAGACGACAGGCAGTGACCAATACTAATCGACTGGGACTGGAACAAAGTGAGTCCCTCCCTATTCTCAATTTTTCATCACCTCACTTGTCGTTTTTTTGACTTGCAGTGCCTCTGACCTTGCCCTCCCTCCCATCCAGTTCCTGCACCTCTCCAACTCTACCAAACTTTCAGTTTTTCCCCTCCTCTACAATCAACCAGGACCAGCTACTTCAGAAGGCTGATGAACTTAACTTTTTTCCATCCTCGTATGAAGTGTGTGTCTACGTGAGCTACTCTAATTCCCAGGCAGACTGGGTCCAGGGAACACTGCTCCCTCTGCTTCACTCCTTCCAACCAATCAGAGTCACCGACCACGAAGCTCACATGATCCCAGGAGGTGTGGTCTCTGAGGAGAGACTCCGCCTACTGCAGTCGGCTGATAAAGTGGTGGCCGTCATAGCCCTAGACTACCAGCTGACTGAGTGGTGCAACTATGAGCTCCAGCACGTGCTACAGCAGTCGTCAACGGGAGGGGCAGGACTACTTATCCCCATACTGTGTGGTGGGTGCAGAGAACTCCCGTCCACCATCTCAACCCTCCATCCCCTCTCTCTGGAGGACCCCAACTGGACACACAAACTCAGGATCGCACTCCGCAGAAAACACCCTGCAACAAACAGTGTCTAGCTGCCAATGAATACTATAGCATTCATGAAACTCCCATGCCAATTGTATAGTCAGAGTGGGAGGGTCTCTTTCATCCCTGATCCAAGCTTACCTGCAGTGTAATACTGTAATTCCCAGAAAACTTGTTCTATTCTGGTTTACAATGAGGGAGACACAGAAACAGGATTTCAGTGTTGTTTAAGAAAACACTGTTGAAATTTATGCATAGGCATCATAAATAATTATTATAATTATTATACTAGTTTACCTTAAACGCTGTAGACAATTGTTAGGAGGCATTAGAAGCCTACTACAATACTCTGATGTGAAAGGTCAACAGTTTACACCTTAAACATACCCTGTAGGCTAATACTCTGATTGAAAGGTCAACAGGTACATGTACTGTACAACACAAAGTTGACGTTTCAAGGAATTTCAATCAGGGTGCATAACAACTATAATACATAATATGTATATACACTATAATAGCAGAAGTACATTTTTACATAAAATAGCAAAAAGTCCAGTAATCTGCACATTACTTCTGTACTACTTCTTGCAACACACTACAGCTAATTTGAGAGTCATCCTCGTCAAGCTTCTGAAATGTGTAAGTATTAGTGGGAGGCGCCTCAGCGGTTGTTGTTACACCTCCAAAAGATGGCCCCATATTGACTGTAAAATAGCAGGTTGTGTTTCGGCGGTCGGTAACTGTTTTGAAACTCAAATTAAAAAATGGATCCTTGCCATCATAATCAAATGACTGGTGGTAATGTGGAAACGATCGACGTTGATTTTCCTGGCGCTAAAAATTAAAAAAAGTCAGTGGTTAGTTGTTACTATAATCATTACTCACGGTAGTGAAGTATGGCGTGCTGCACACCCCCCCTTCGTCTTCACGAACTGTCAGAAAGCTAGGATGAACTCGCTTAATCCTTGCTTTTGTGTCAGATAGATGAAGTTTGTATGTGTGATTGATACCTAACACAAAGCCACATAATTAATAGGTGAGGTAATGTTGTGAGGGTGACTTACTGTTGTCTGAAGTATAATTCCAAACATTTCGTCCGTCAGTGTAAGTTGGTGCAAATGAATCACTGCTACTTGTTCTTATTAGAATCTTCTTTTGAGGGTTTGTATCATCTTCATCACATTCCTATACAAATGTGACATATAGCTACAGTAACGCATATTAAGGAACTTGCATGTCTTGCAGTGCCTAAATAATTATAGTAGCTATAATGCCAAGTGAAAGAAGAAGGTGAACATTACTAGCAGCATGTACACCAGTAGCTAGTAGTAGCAACTTGCCGCGTAGCTCATGTATCTACGTAGCTACAGAATTGAGTTACGATAGGCAACGCAGAAAATTCAGTAATAAGCATCTGGCGGCATAAACAAGAAAAGTTGGCCTTTAGAAATCCTGAGTCTCTTTTGTGTTAGCAAGCGATCAACGTTATTCATGAAACCGACTATCCATGGGGTGGTATCACACTTACTATTAGTTCTTCCCGATTATCTACCATTGAATGTCGACAGCCCATTGCTTGAATCAGTAGCAAAGACGGTCCTTCAGTAGCCACCTATATACCTTAGCAAATCCAACTGCAAATACCCAATTTAGCATGCAGCATAATTATATACATCGCTCCGCAGCGTGATGATCTCAAAAAGGGGAGGGGTGTTTCCCAACGCGCGGGTAGAACCGGCCCAGATCGGTCGGGCGCGCGCTTACACGCATGCGCGAGTAGTTTTCAAGGAAGAGGTCAGGCTGAATGAATGTTTGCTGTGAAGAATTTTCATATTATAAGCCTCACACAACATCATTTCCGAGTGAGAAAACTAGCACTGAATGCACCAATAAAAAGACGGTAGCTAGTCGGCTAGCAGTGCAACGAGTCCCGATACTTTTCAGGAATGGAGTCCAGTAGGTCTTTAGATTTCAACCATTCTCTGTTGAAGAGTCGAGCATAGTATCTCTGAAGGAAGAAGAGGAAGAAACAAACTATTCATAATAGCATGAAAAGTGCACGAAGGCAAAGCAGTAATAGCCACCCAGGAAAGCTCCTTGCAGGGAAAAAGGTTAATTTTACCCTCCTATGGGCGGGGTTTAAACTCACAACAATCTTCAGTCTGGGTGGGGCACTCTTACCTGCTGTACTAAAAGTGTGGAAAAGGCGGGGTCTGAGAACGAGACTACAAGGCCAAAGTGCAGGCTCAGAAGGTAGGGCTCACAACACACAAGGCAATGGCCTATTAAGTCATGCATATTATAGACTGATAATTATTATATACCTGTCCACTGTCACATAAGCAAGTGACAACTGTATGGCCAGGACCCATGTCCTTAGCCACCTGAAAATTGAAAGAGGAAGAAAGACATTTTTCTTTCGGCTAATGTAGTCTCCCTATAAATATGCAACAAAAGACGCCTTTTCTAACATAAAGTCAAATGTTGTATTGACAGGTAGGGTAGTTAGTTAGTGGTTAATTGTAGGGACTGACCCTAACAGCAGCTGCCACATTTAGTCCAGATGATGCCCCGACGAAAAAACCTTCTTCATGTAGCAGGTAAAATGTCTATATCACAACAACAAGTACATAAACCACAGACAGACAAGATGAATCTCCTACCATGGCCACTGCCTCAGAGTCAAGCACAAGGATGGCTCTATCAACAGGGGCTCCATTGAGATTCTGTGTCACCCTCCCTTGCCCTATTCCTATGAGACAAAATGGCAGTATACATAGCCAAGGGAGGATGACCCTATAAATACATAGTAGAGCTTACTACTAGGTGCATACAGTATCCAGAAAGCTCTATACTACATAACCATATTAGTGAATTGTTTCTGTGGATGCCACTGAGCTAAAGGTCTTATGTTGTAGTACTTACTGTGTATATAGCTAGGTCAACAAGAAGAACTTAGACTGGAGAGCATGAACTCTTTTTGGACCTGTCGTAACAGTGGTAGTAAAAGGCGTTCCTTTTTCGGTGTGTCTTAATTGCATACAACTGTAGTACGTATATGTCGCACATTGTACCTTCTGTTATTGAGCTTCCTTCACTCCTTTCCAGTTTCCCATGAGTAAAGTGATTGTACAGTACACTACCCTATAGTAGGAAACACAGTGATGCATATATACTACCTGTGAATTCTTGACGGAATAAAGATAAAGGGCTAAACAGTAGCACTGGATCGAGCAAGTGTTAGTACTAGAGAGGTGTCCCATATTAAATGGCCACATTATAAGGGGTTCAATCGTTGTTATTGAAGGCTGTGCTCTATAGACCATAAAATATTGTGTAGTGCATTACATAGCAACAAAGGTGATAGGAGATGGTATGATGGTATGGATTAATCTAACTTAATGAGGGCGAAAATGTGTTACTAACTATGATATTCATACCTGGGGATCAGCCAGTACTACTTGGACATCTGGATTCTTAGTCTTCAGATACTCCCCAACACCTGGACCGTGACGCAGTGATACATACATACATACTAGTTTCAGCAGCGTGCTAGTGTACTATGGGAAACTATTGAAGACGTGTTGCAGTGAGGGGAGGGTAATGAACAAGGCGCATTCCCTAGTATTTGGGACGGTTTTGTAGCAAGGCACTCACTCAACAAACACTCGAACTGCTACAAGAATCAGTGAAGACTCAACTACATTGTACCCGTGGGGTAGCTAGATAATTCCCCAGGCATTCTCCAATGTGTGGCAACTGTCTAAAGTATGGGATGTATTAAACTGTCAGTGCCTTTGATACATTCACGTATCGTGCCACAAAAGGCTTGTTACGGTGTATATTGTGTACTTTATATAAACTGCGCAAGTAATATGAAACTGGAACAAGCACACTAATTGACATTATCATATCGCGCCAATTATGCGTATGATTATAGCAAAGAACATTTGCACCCACAAAGGGGAGGCATTTCCCAGCAGTGCGTAGTGAGTGAATTCACAGAGATGTGCAGTGTTCCCTACCTGCCAGAGTGCCTCCCGTGCCAGTGCTGAATGTAACTGCACTCACACGACCACCTGGAGTATTAATAGGAGACAGACTTTTGCAGTAAAACAGCTATTGCTAACTTGCTCCTCCGCTTGTGCTTCATGCCATATAACTACCATTATAATGCAACCATAAGTGAGATATTGTGACACACACACACACACACCACACACACACCAGTCTGCTCCCAAATCTCGGGGCCGGTGGTCTCAACGTGAGCTCTCCTGTTAGCAGTGTTGTCAAACTGGTTTGTCCAGACTGCATTCTCCAGAGACTCGGCATAGCGGCGAGCCTTGACCAATCAAATCACAGGGCGAGTAATTTAGACAATTTGTAAATTGCAAGAACATGAGCACTGAATATCACGCCGTCCTGACACACTATGACAATACCGCAAGGCAAAGGTTCCGCACACAATACCCATGCATATTAGCTTTCTTAAAATGGTGAAGTGAAGGAAATTTTCACTACGTATTTTACACAATGTCCAATAAAATGTGCAAATAGTACGTGTGAGCCATTTAACGCAAGTCAAAAGTTGAAAAAAAAACGTGTTTCTTAACACTAGAAATATTTCCGGATATCTTACAGTGGTGCTCACCTGATGGTTGTAGTTGTCGGGATTGTCAAATGTAACAGCTGGTACTGGTCTCACGTCAGCCCCCAGCACCTTGAGGGCATCAATCTTCTCCTGTGTGCCACAGACTTCATTGAAACCTCTGAATAGGGGACTGTCCTTTAGTCAGGAAGTGTCCCTTATTCGGAGGTTGTAACAATTATAAACATGGGCAAGTTGATGATGCAGACATGGAGTTACACATGCATGGGAATTTGGAGCAATATCCACTACTAAACTGGTCCACAGGATGCTAGGCCAGGTCTGGTAATCCCTCATAACCAAAACACACGGAGCAATTCAGATGAACTATATACTGTTGATCCAACAACCACTCTTTAATACCAAAATACTGCTATATACATAATATATAATTAAACAATTTTCTGCCAGTGTTAAACACACGTTTAAGTTAGTAAAAGTATACCTGAGACTGTGTGTCGGGCATGAAGATGACGCAGTGATATCCTAGAGCCTTGCAGATGTGAGCCAGTCCAATACCTGTGTTACCTGCAGTTCCTTCTACTACTGTCCCTCCTGCTCTCAGCTGTCCTGGCAGAGGTGAGCACACACACTTAAAACCGAGTCTCTTTCACTGTAAAAACTTAAAGGTTTATTTTTGAGCTGTGATCGAATGTGAGAAGACGTCACTGTTCCTCTGATTACCTCGTCTGTGTATGAAGTTTTCAAAATGAGATCCATGCAGCTATATACATCTATTGCCTCCAGATGTGCAGTTAGAACTGCCATTTGGTTGTGTAGAAGGATGGACTATAATAATGTGTCCTGGATTCAATGAAAAGTACTAAAGTGCAAACCCTCAGCGCATTACGCATGCGCGGTATCGCTAAATGGTGGGATGGGTCTAGGCTATGCAGTTGTCTCCCGCAAGTAACTCGCGGAGAGTCTGACACGGGCTAGCTACACTAGTATACTGCATGCGGGAGTCGATACACGCCCTCTGTTGTAACTTCTTGTGTCTCCAACGTACGCGGAGTTGGCCGATCAGTTGGAGGTAAGCCAGCGCGATTATGCATATTGGCTTTTTCGCTTGTTTTCACGGCATATCTCACGAACGCAGTCGTTGCAGGAAAACCACCCTTTTATTTTTCAGGCTCGTGTAGTACTGAAGCCGCTGGTATCGCTAATGGGCCGCCTCGTAGCCTGTAGTGCCAGAATAAGCGTCGACACACACACACACACAGACAGAACGACTACAGTAACCCTCGCTGCGCATGCGCACCGAGGGTTAATAATTGTACCTATCATTGTAACAGAAGTATGTGGGCTTTAAACAGGTATAAATCAAGCTTTTGAATCATCCCGGGTGCACTCATACCTTTCTCTTCGGCATCTTTGATGAGGTAGAGGGCAGCTCTGTCTTTGACCGATCCCCCGGGGTTCATGAACTCTGCCTTCACTGCTATTGTACATCCAGTCTCCTGGCTCAGTTTGTTCAGTCGAACCAGTGGAGTACTGCAACACACACGCATTTACACTACATGATAGAGTGAACACTATAGTATTGAAAGTCAGTTACGAATAAAGGGGTGGACCAATTGCATTCAGGTTCATACGCTTTGAAATCGGTAGATCATTCATGTAAGCCAGGTTGCTCTATATACATGTGTTACGGTATGGCAATTGGAAAAAACTCACGGGAGAATATGGAAACCTAAGAGAAGGGAAAATAATAGAGATATTGAGGATTGCAGCGCTACCGAGGCGAAAGGGATAAATTATAGAGATATCAAGGAGAGAGACGAAGATGGAGATGTATATATAACTCACTTTCCAATGGTGCCCTTCAGGCCATCTCTAATTGCACCCTGCCCCTGTAATAACAGTGGATGCAGAGACTCAAAGTCATGGGGTAGTATAGCAATGCTTCCTCTCACCGACAATCTCCTACTGAAAGGACTGGAGAAGACCCGTAGCACTACCTGTCTCCACATTGATGTGAGCTCAGTTTACAAGCTCCACCCACGTGTTGGCCCCTATTATGTAACACCCACGTGTAACCTTTGAACTTGGTTGTACGGACTGTTTTGTATTGAAGCGATGGAGGCTGCTGCAGCAGATGAGAGAAGCAAGAAGAAGAGGAAGAAGAAAAACAGAGCCAAAAAAGGTAATCTATCGCTAGCAATAGATGCTGGGTCTTTGCAGCACGAATCTGATGATAACTCATCCTTCCGGACCTGTCCAAGTGGCTTAGTCCAGTAGGCTTTATGAATGATCAGTGCACACATATTTCTAGGGAGCACATGACCAACTCTTGCTTAGTGGTATCTTAGGCAGTGATGTTCATGTTCAACTCTAACGTGTGTGTGTGTGTCAATCTGCTGGCAGGTGGCAGTACTGCAGCTATGGATCCAGCAGAAACAACTACACAGCTGGCAGATAGTGATGCTACTCAGACAAGTCATGCACAGGACAACGCGCCAGTTGCTCCAGAAACATCACCAACATCAAAACCCAAGAAGAAGAAGAAAAAGAAGAAGCCCAGTGGCCTTTCGACTACCGACGTATCATTCAATCCCAAATCAAGTACTGTAAGTGGAGCTTCAGTCTCTGTGGAGCTTCAGTCGAGCTTTGAGCAGGAGCTCCAGTGGTGCATTGCTCAACTAGAATTAGGTCTCTTGCGAACAGATGCCACGAAATCTCAGAAACAAGAAAAGGACAAGTTCATTCGCACCCTCAGATCGCAAAAGACCCCCCTACCTCGAAAACGGCAGGTCATGAAAAACCTGTTTGGTGACTATCGAACTAGAATTCTACGAGAACCTGTCTCGCAGTACTTGCAGACTCCAGACTCTGCACCGAGTGTCAGTGGTATTAGGGGTTCTGAAGGAGGGAGGTTTTTTAGACACTCAATACAGAAAGATAGCAGAGGCAAAGGGGTTAATGGTGAGGGTTCTGGTGTGGATGGGGTTAATGGTGAGTGCTCCGGTATCGATGGGGTTAATAGTGAGTCCTCTGGTGTGGACAGAGTTAATGGTGGAAAGAGAAAAACTGGCTTTTGTTTCAACTTTGAGATTGAGCCATAATGTGCACATTGCACAATGCAGGACCTGGTATAAAGTACTTTGCTCTTCCATCATTTCCTCTTTTTATCAAATTCATGTACGACTTCCATATTCTCTGTGAATGTAATTTTGTATAGTAATTTTATTCACTGGTGCAAAGTCCATACCGCTGCCATGACAACTTCCTCCAGTAAACAATATTTTAATAGAAAACATGGAACTTTGGGTGTGGCAGATTTTGCATGAACATTTTTTAACAGCTCTATTTATAGCCTAGAGGCTGCTCTAAAAATACAGTTCGCTGTTGTTCAATATAACGAGCAAAAATGACATGTGACATGTATATATTACTATGCATGTTGTTCATATGTGCACGTCAACATAATTATGAGTATAAAAAAGGACTTGTGTAATGTGCGCTTTTGTCTAAAAAGAGATGACAACCACAAAATGTGTAGAGATTACGTTTAGGGAAGAGAAGATGACGAGTGTATAAATGAGAGGAAATGTAAATCAGAGTTTTTGGTGCGTCTGTGAAGGCAATCTGAAGGAGAAGAATAGGTGTGCTATGGCTGTCCCTAGTCCAACAATGCTTGTTAGCAACGAAACCCCCGCTCCGGCAATCAGTACAATTGCCAGGGTCTCACTCATGTCGGTGAAACAACACTCGTCGTCACAACTGTCCACACACGTCTGCGTCCTCTTCCCGAACTGCTCACAATCGTCGCAATACTCACCAATCAGACTCTCACTCCCTCCATTATACAGCAGAACGAAAGGTAATAGCACACCAATACCCACTAGGATCAGAGTCGCTGTCAGTATGAGAAACGTGAATCCGAGGCAGCGGGTAATGCGGGTGACCCCTTCCATTAGGATTCCGACGATGCCTGCTAGGAGGGACAGAACACCCACACTGAAGGCTAGAGGAGCCGTGATGGTTGGTGTGAACTGGAGGGAGATCCAGGCCACGGCGGAGGAGAGGAGAGCCATGGAGCAGAGGAGGTAGAGAGTAGCCACCAGTCCATTCTAGGAACACACACTGGCAGGTGGATTTTTCTTTGTTTTGACGACATGGTTGGGCGCTGAGGGAATGTAGAATGTCGCTTATAGGTAGCGTGACATTAGAGCATTATTACACACCATTCTACTGGTCTTCTCCTCACAACCTCATCTCTACCCACCATCTCCACACAACGTTGGCCTCATGCAGTTTGTTTACAGGAGATTGGATGCGGGCTTACCGCCGTGCACACAAAAAAGGGGTGGGGCTGACTCACCAGCGTACCCTAGGATTCTGCTTACCTCGCGCATTTAGAACGCAGGACTCCTGAAAAACCACTGCACTAAGTCGCCCTTGTCTTCTTTCTTTCCCTTATCTTTCCGAGAGCTAGTCTATTCCCAGCAAGGACACTCACACAACTGCGAACGCGCCACACCCACACAAATCGGCGTACTACCGGACCACACCCCACACAATATCCCCGCGCACAACGGCGCATGCGTAACAAGCCCAATCTATCCATGCCATAACACCACCTGGACATCTTTGTGTTACTGTGCATGACCTTTTGAAATGCATACGGAGTCCATCAGCGTATCAACAAGGCCCGCAGTAGCTATCACTGTGAGAAGACTTGAGTGGGTGGGTCCTCAGCATTCAACAGATTTTGTTATGTTAGCAATTCTACTTGCGATCGGTGACCTTTCGTGGTGCTCTCTACTTTGTTTACCAATGACATGGTTGGTGTATAGTTACCCAAGTTACCAATTCATGAAACCGTTGTATTTGTGAATCTTCACCAGCCCTGAATTCCATTTCACACCATTTTTGCTTCCTGGAAGTTGTCATTATCGTTGCAATAGTTGTGAGTGTCAAACTCTTCATTACTGAGGTGTATATTTGTATTAGATCTGCATACTAGCTAGCTACCCCCTGAGCTGATACCACCAAAAGGAAGACTACTGCGGTGAGTGCACAAGTGATCAACAGTGATAGGTTTTCTTGCCACTCTGCTTCACCAGTAACTATATATGCCTGCAAAATGGAAAGATACTGCCAGGTTTTGCTAGACTCATAACTATCAGTTTACTCAGCACACAAATTCAACACAAGAAACTGACTCAAGGACTAATCGGATGCTCAGTTAATGATTATTTTCGCGGGAATAAAACTGCGTGTGAGTGCATTGAGAACGACAGAGAGTGTCGTCTTACTAGACTTTTCTCCTGTACAAAATTGTGTAACAGCTTGTTGTTTTTTTGCCTTGATGTTTTTTCGTTTAAATGAACCTCCCTTGTTCTATCATTCTCATCCTTTCTTACACCATCTTTCTCCTAGCTTACCAACTCATGTAACGACTCATTGAGATCATGCCAACTCTAGGCTGTGGATACGTCTGTTGCTTGTGAGTGATTCATGTTCTGAGTCCTCTTTTTCTCTTTGTTCAAACGTCATCTTATTTATTTTATTCTCATGGGAATCTGTCTCGTATTAGCAATTGCGTGCTACTTACGTGATTCCTTGCATCGGTTGTCGAAAACTATTTAAAAAAAAAAATAACAGCTGTTTGAATGTGAACATGACTTGTAGCACAACGTGCTCTGTTTGTCTTAATGTGTGTTGTACTAAATATTATGTAGTAGTGTCAGCAGCTCTGTCACCTCTGGCTACTGTCGCTGTAGTGAGGGTGTGGGTTTGCTTTAGCTAGCTGATGTCTAGTCTGTCTGGTTCCGTTATCTCTCAACTCACCTTGTCGCATGTCTGTTTTTGTCCAGAAACGATAACCGATATCTACGCAAACGGGCGACGAAGGTCAGAAATATTGTGGGGTTTCTCTGAAAAAAGGCTCCGTTTGCAGAGACATAAGATGGAGCTCAGCCAGCATTGTATGGCTAATGCCTGACAATTTATCGCTGCGCGGATACTGCTTACGTGTTTGTGCTTCTTATGTAGGTCTCTCCATGTTCTCTTGTTTTCTAGTTGTAAGGTTCAAGTTGCCATACAACGTTTGTGCTAGTTCCGTTACACAAAAGCTAGGCAAAGAGAGAGAGAAGTTGCGGCCAGTCTTTTCTGAGAAACTGGCTAGAGACCAAGTGCAGGAGGAGAGAAGGTTCAGTATAATAGATGACATACTGCTTGTCTTGTTTGTTGCGTTAAAAATGAAGGTTGTTTTGCCAGTGTTGCACTGATTGCTCTCTGTGTGTGCGCCATGGATGGGCCTTGTGGATACACCAGCTGTGGAGAGGTCGAGAAAGCGGTTTGGTTTCTTCATAGATAGACAGAAGTTTGTTGAGTCATGAATATCTCTGTGCAGCATTTTCATTGTTCTTTGAGCCTCGTAAAGTCCAATGTTCATCACTGTTTTTTCTTACGGCATTGTGGTTGAAAACCAACAACAAATTTAGTGACTCAAAACCTTAGTCCTGATATGAGGTGTAAATTAGTAACAAGGTGAGAGTGAAAACTATCTGCAATTATGCCACGCCCTTGCAAGAAGGATATAATTTTGGGTTCCTGAGAATTTATCTTTGCTTCGAATTCAAATTCCTGCAGACTTTGTTCGCAAAGCAAGAGATAAGGAATAGCTCGGTGGGATAACTTTGTGCACGCTCTGCTATAATCCCCACCTGTCGGGATTAAAACGTTGCTTTAGGTTTTTGTTTCCCCTTTTTCTTCCCCCTCCTCCCTTATATTTGTTTTTTTGTAGCGGGTTGTGTAGCAGGTGACTTGTCAATTGCTGATCTTGCCCAAACCTCCTCTATTTTCTGATAATTTGCACAGGCGCTTATCACCAATGGAATCATTTATGCATTTTAAGTAGAATGTTTCTTCACTGCGTTTTAACTAACCCATCATCAGCACTAAGCTTAGTCGGCAAACCTTTGGACACAGCA